AACTTCTATAAGACATTTGACCTTCAGCCCATTTGGTCAGATTCTACTTAAGCCCCTAAGTGAGTCTTTCCGGTCAGCAACTGTGACGAAACACCTAAACAAACTACAGTTATTTGGAAAATAACAGCACAATTCAGCAAACAAGGTGGCTGTGAAATGCTTTACAGACTGACTGGAACAAAACTGATATTGTGACAATTTTATGGCTATTAGGTACTGTTTTCTAGCAGAAGGAATTGCTAGTATTAAAGCATGTATGATTAAATACTCTGGACTTCTCATGCTCATGTTCTACTGCTTAAGTAGAACATTACTTTTGACAGTTATTAAAGGACGATCTCCAGTAACCAGGCTGGTGACCTTTGCTTTACAACATGCACTCTTAAAAAGGAGGATCTTCAAAGTTTTTTAGTAAAGACAGTGACAATATATAGAATTGTTTGAATGGTTAAATGGTTCTTCACCTTAATTCAGTATTTGTTGTATATGGCTCTTTGAAAACCCCTTAAAAATTATTCTAAATAGCACCAAAAGGGGTTTTTTGGGCCTATAAGAATTCATTTTTGTCTGATTAAACATTCTTTTTTGGTTTTTCTTGTTTTTTATTTTTCTTCTTTCAAACTTTTGTGAGATTCTTGTACTTTATTGCTTGACTCTGATTCTTTTCAGGCCTTTTCAATGGAGCTATACTAATAAAACACATTGTTATCATTTATTATGACTTACCTTCAATTACTAGGAAGCCAGTCTGCGTCCTGACAATTAGCTCTGTGGGTGCGAAATGGTTGACGTCCAGACTAACTGTCCACTTGCACTGCTCAGTGTAAACCTCGGACACCCCTTCGCTCAACTCCCTGTGGACCTTAATGCTCATGACCCTGGAGGCCCTGGTGTAACCGCGCCAAGAGGAACTTCCCAGCTTTCTGAAGAGATTCTCCATCCAGCTGAGGTCTCTGGAGTCCAACAATGGAGGAAGGCCAAAGTGCTGGTTGTAGAGCACACTGGGCTGCCATCCATAGCTTACGGGAGACCAGGTGGCATCACAGAAGGACTGTGGCTTGGTGCTCGTGGGCTTGGGTTCATCTGCCATGCTGAAGGGAATGCCAGAGGACTACAAGTCACACAAGTCTGAGTGGAATGGGCCTCCTCCTGAATTCACCTCTTATCTGGAGAGGCTGTGTGGTACTGGGAGACATCCTCGCAAGCCTTTATATACCCTGTCCTTGCCTTTTAGCGCTTACTAAGCAGCTCTGCTGATGCTAGGAGAGGAGAATGTAGGGACGAGGTGACGGAGAGTTAGCATGGACTGTTGCCTCGATCTTGCTTTGACCACTGTATGCTGGATGCTAATTAGAGATATTTATAGATGTGAAGGGAAAATGACAAATAGCTGGTGGATGAGGCAGACCATCGAGAGTGAACTCTGCCTAAGAACTCAACGGCCAAGAGGAGGTTTGTCACTTATCAGTGACCATTAGTATGCTGTAGAGACTGCATCCCAACTGGGAAGCTGGTGAAGGTGGCCAGATGCTGGTCAATTAGTTATGACATTTCGTTGCTCTAGATAGTATGGGGTATATATATATATATATATATATATATATATATATATATATATATATACATGGATGCATACATATGATAATATATAATATATATATGCGCAATAATCTGATAACTGCAGAAAATTTACATGTACTTGAGTAATCAGATAATAGGGAAACTCTGGGTCTACATGAATCAGACAGTAATCGGATTTCTGCTTTGCAACCAGCCAATAAACTCACAGAAGATGTGACGTAAACATAACGTAAAACTAAAACTTGATGCTGCAGCTTCTTTTATTTTTTGTGGCACTTAACCTAAAAATATGAACATACATCCTGTAGAAGATGAAGAACAATGCTGCTTGCTTATTTCTGGTAGAGCAGACTGTTTTCGCATATGCGCAGACTGAAAATTCAGAAAGAAATCAGAGTAAGAGTTTACATGCACTGAGAAATCTGATTACTGAGCTAAAATCCAGCTCTTTTTATCAGATTTCTATCAGATTTCTATTTTTAGACCTTACTCTGATCTAGAAAATTACTACAAATCGGAGTACATGGCCATACATGAGTACGTGAACTGTTTACATGACCATTTGAGTAATCAGATAACTAAAAAAATCCGATTATGATCTGATTATTGAGTGCATGTAATCACACTCACTGTATATAGGTTTTATGATGAATGAACCAAAAGAAACGGCCCAAAATTACTCGGAAAAAAGTCTGGTTCCATTGACTTACATTAAAAGGAAAGTATATTTTGCCCTTCTCCTGTAAAGTTATCATTTTGGCGATACAGTGTTTTGTTCTGACAGCAGTAATATATATACATCAGCAGCACACCTGATTAGACAATCCAGGTAGTGTATGAAGCCATAAATACTGGGATTCCTCAAGAAGCGATTTGGAAATTACACAACTTGTCAGTAGAAGGCCAGTAGAAATGGTTATGCTAATACACTGACAGACCTAAAATCACATTGTATTGTATTACTGTTTGTTTCTATTTATTCTAGTGTTAGAAAACAAACATCTGTCCAGATAAATAGCTTTAATCTTATTTTCTGATGTGACCTAAGGCTTCTGCAGAGTGTACCATCCTGCTGAGTTTAATTAAGCACAATGACCCCATTTTCACCTGGTGTTAAAAAGCAACCTGATGATGTAACAATTTTTTTGCATATTGAGAGATGCATATTAATCATTGTGCAATTGTAAATATGTGCTACAGCCATGTTAGAGGATTTTTGGCCCACACTGTGTTCACATATCACTTAGGTGTAAATGTGATTTGTGTAACAGCAGGATTTGTGGAGAAGCATCTGAATCTGAGTCTGAAGTTTACAGCTGGACAGTCTTGATTTGCCCACAAAATGTATTAGAACTTGATAAATACTGGTCATGTTTCAATAAATTATTACATGTTCTCATATAAAAATGCTTATTTTGGAAGGCTTTGAAGTTGTTTCGATTACTAGTACCAACAGTTCAGTGTCTCTCCATCCCGTAGTGCCCTGCCTGTACTATTATTTATAAAAAAATGGGCAGAAAAAAGTATAAAAGCATGATTGGCAGCTTTTTGGCTGAAGAGAAAATGATGTATATTAGATTTTTTGCTACACTATTCCTTCAAAGTCAATATGAATCAGAAATCATAACATAGAGAGAGAAGGTAAAATAACATTATATAATTAGTCAGTATTAAGTTTAAGTGTTTTGGTGTGATTTAGTTACACTGTCTTGGAACTTACCATGATGTTACCCAAAAGAATTACTTAGTACTTTGGAGTTTGTACCTTACACTTACCTGGTTAATATCTAGAACTTAAGGGGCTATAATAAAAAGCATTACTGAATCTTGCCTTGTGATATAATGAATTGTGTCTAATATGGTCAGCAGAACTGGCAGAAGTACACAAGTTTTTTGTCAAGTAAGAATATAAATGTACATGCTTCTAAATGTACTTAAAGTAAAAAATGTAAAAGCATTTATTTAAAAAGCTTTTCTAATAAATTTCCTGTGTTCCTGTTGAGTGATAATTAGATGTACACAAACATGACATTATGTGTACATAATGGTTTATGCTTGACCTTCATGCATCATCTGCAAAATCATGCAAATGACAGATTTAATGTTTTTTTGTTGTTGTTGTTGTTTTCATGAAGGATACACCAGTAAATTTTTGAACCAACCAGGTCAAATAGTTCTTGTAAGTCAGCCATGGATATAATTTTTTTCCCAACATATTTGCACCTTCCAGGATACGCACCGGATCACCACTATCACTTTCTTTCAGATCCGCCTTTCTTTTCACTTATCCGCCTCATCTGCTGCTTCTCTTTTCGTCCTTTTCTGCATTTGTGGTAGCTGTGGTAAAGAGTCTGGTCTGAAAATGGAGAAAGTAATAGAAAGAACAGATTTTTTCTTTTAAGATTTAGTGAGTAAAAGCAAAAATGATCAAGTGACAGAAATACTGAAGTACAGTAATTCCACTGCTGATGATCAGTTAATGAACTAACAACTTTAAACAAAGGTTCACTTTAATTTCAGGTTGACTATAAAGCAAGAGTATGGAATAAGACTGCCATTAGAAATTTGAATTTAAATGAAGTTTTAAATCTGGATCATACCATCGGAAATTGAATTCTGAACTAAAATTGCGTTCTGTGCTTTGTAAGAGAGCAATAAAAAATCTGAAACTGACTCAGTGAAGTCAAATTGAACATCTGAATTTCAGTTTCTCAAAAGCATTTAGTTTTTCCAGATTCACTTTCAAAATAAACAGCAATGCGATGTTTAAACCACAACCTGAATGTGTTTTGTATGTGCTTCATGAGGCCTGTCAACTCTAGCAATGCAGATGTGCCCAATATACTCATCCCGCTATTATTACAGTATCACTGCTGTGGAACATCACCCAAACAGTATCTGGTCAGTGGTGGTCCTATAGCGGTCCCTTTCCACTGATGGAAGTGGGGGAGGGGGTTAGATCAACTGCAGCAACAAATGGGCTACAGATAGTAACTGCAAGTGTACCTGTATGGTAGGTGTTTCTGATTAAATGGCGAGTGTAGGTACACATGGGGGGGGTTGGCCTGGAAGAGATTAGGTATTTGACTGCTTTTGTCTGCAAGACACCTAGATGTCATTTTGAACGTGAATCTGAAAATGTGAACTGATAGAAAAGCTACAAATTGAATTACAGACAGACTTAAAGACTTAAAACTCAATTTCAATTCAAAGACTTAAAACTCAATTTCAATTCAAAATTAAATTTCAGATTGTATGCTACTAATAGCATGAACTCCATATTAGAGCAGGGACACAATGTCTTGAGCAGTGCAGGGGCTACTACAAAAGTAGAACTGGTAAACACTGACATAATCCACAGTGGTTGAACAGCACCCAGCACTTTGACCCCAGGACAGGTTAAACAGTTCCTACTTGTCTGGCAGGTTTTCCGTGGCCCTGTTGCCATTAGAGACCAGTAACAGGGCACAAGGAAAACAGCTTTCAGCGTTTCATTTTACATTTACACAACTACTGGGATCTCTAGATAATATGTACTCTTCCAAGACCTCACTTGAATAATTAAACAAACCACAAACCGTAGCATGCCAACAACGCCAGTAGCAGTAAGACGGTACACTGGATCTGCCAAAGTTCGTGATCGTGGTCTCCAGCACAAGGAAAGCTGGGAACGGGTCTACTGGGAGAGTTTGGGTCGCAGCCAGAGAGAAAACAGCCAGCTGGGCTACAGGGTTGATGAGGTGGGATCTGCTTTACTTTAGAGTAGAAACCTATTCCGTCTCTGAAGCAGCTAGTGGTGTTTTATCATCATTTGTCAAATTTATACCTGTTTGTGATAAAAGCTTAATGCTTTAAACACTTTAAATTGTCTGTTTGCGATTCTGTAATGTGATAAAACTGCTGGACAATTTAGAAGGCCCACTGGATTAGGCCCACTAATGGTAAACATTAGCCATTTTGTTTACTTTCCAGTACTTTATATTAGTTAATTTGTCTGCATTAACTCAGTAATTGGTTGTTACTTAGCTGATTATTTGGATCAGGTGTGTTAGGATGTGGAAAAACTCTTAATGTATTAATTTAGGCAATGTAGCTAGCTGAAGTATTAAGCTCCCCAGACAAAAAATAAGTCACCTTGCGTGTTTAAGGTGGTAGTAACTTCAGGCTCCTGCAGATGGCGTTGCACGAAGATGATCAGGCTATGAATGCCTGCGACAGGATTCATAGATTGAGAAGAGGTGGTACAGTGCAGTGAATGTCTCATTTGATGTGTGGAAAATGGGTGGCAAAGCAGATGTTAATGATTGGCAAAATGGAGTGACCAGCAATGGTAAAAATCCCAGTCTACAGGAAATTCTCATCAGAATTTTTGAAAAACAAAACTGGTGGTCAGGGATTGCCGGTGTGTTTTACGTCTTATAAAGAAAAGTCACTTTGTTTTCAGGCAAGAATTGCTTCTAGAAGTCAACGCAGGTTCTTCACAACCAATTTCTGAAAGAACACTCCGCAGGGAACTGCATACCATGAACATATGGAGCAGAGTTGCACGCAAGAGGCCTTTATTCACTGTTTACAAAGTTGCCTGGTTACAGTGAACGAACTGGACTGTTCATGACCACAAAATCCCTATATTTGAATCCTCTTGAAAATCTGTGGGACTACTTGGAACAACGAGTAAGATGCCAGAGAAGGCATCCGTGAAAACTGTCTGAACTGGACAATTCTTTGATGCAAGAGTGAATGACCATTGACGTTGCCAATATCAAGAAACTTGTCCAGTCCATGCCAAATCAAATCACAGCTGTTATTCATGCTTGTGGAGGTGTTACATGCTATTAGGTACATTTCAGTCACAGGTGACAAATTTTTTGTGTGGTGAGTTTACATCTACACTGCCTGTCAAAAGTTTGGGTCTTTGTAAATTTTTAATACAAATTAACATGTTTTGTTTGTTGGTTTGCAATCATTTAACACATTAAAGACCAATCAGATTCATTTTGAGAAACCAGTCACACATGCAGAGTAATACGTGATTAACAGATCCGCGTAAATATACACTAGCTAGGTAGCTAACATCTGCTCTGGTATCACTATGCAGGGTAGCTATATAGATAGGTTTAACATCAAGACTTCACTAAAGGATTCACTGAAAAACAGTATCACACAAAGTGAAGTATATATTACATACATGTTCTTGAAGCTGCCATAAGTAGTATTCCCTCTGCTGTGGGAAAGTGAATGTAGTTGCTTGATGCAAACTTAATCCCTTGAAGGCACTAGTGAAAAATAGCATTATTGTCGCCATGCTCAGTAGATAAACAAAAGATATTAACAATTAGGGATGTACCAATAATCATATTTATGTTCAGTTTTGGTTTTTCACCGCCAAATTTGGAGAAGGCCAATTTTTAGCCTAGCACATTGCCAAAATTGCAATATAAACAACATTTTTTTATCATTAATGAGACAAAATAGCCTTTTAATTTCTTAAATGAAAGATCGGTTGCCTATTTAAATATCATGAATCAAAGTGTGACATGGAAAGCTGAAGGCCACTGACTGTTTAGCGCAATGATTCATGCTTAATGATGCGATGACATTTTGGTTTAAGTGAAGCAGCAGAATTCAGATACAGTCCAAGTGCACCTCCCTGCCTCATATCATTTATCTCACAAAATTACACCACAGATCAGCCAAAATGAAAATAATAAGTGGGCAGATTGCTGATCCTGTGTTTGGAGCCAAAATCTGTTGACTGCAGTTTTGGCCAATTGCAATCATGCATCCCTACTCACACAGTGATGGTTTCTAGTGTTTAATGTTTCTTGCTGCTTTCAAATGGTCACTGTTTTATAAAAAAAACACATTTCCCATCAGGAGGCACCACATGAACACCCTCTGAAATCAGATAATGAAGTCAGGATGCATAAATTGGCTGTTTGTCTGTCGACCTGTCCAGGGTGTATCCGCTTGGATAGGCTCCAGCACCCCAGCAACCCCGGAGGTTAAGCGGCTTAGATTTTGTGTGTATATGTGTGCATAAATTGATGCTTTGTGTTCTAAGTATATGCATTGTGAAGTCAACGCGTTTTCCATCATTTTAGCTCTCTTTTCTGCATCCTACTTTCCTTTGATTCCTTTTCTCTCAGTGATTGGTCTGGGTTTTTCCATCGTGGCAGTCTGTCCATCCTCTTTCCACCCACTGGATGCTGATCTTTGATACAGAACAGATTAACAGCATAAAGAATATCTCTCTGTCTCCAACGTGCACATGGCGGCCCAAGGACACAGTCTTTGATAAAGCCCTTCCCATGTGTCCCTTGTTTTCTTCTCTCCAGTGGTGCAGCTGCATTAGGCCTTGTAGTGAATGATGCCCCCCATCACACCTGATAATTCAGTCGCGTCTCTCAGAGCCTTCGACAAATGCTTCTGAAAGACACAGCGGCTTCCATTTGTAATGCAATTTACTCCCTCATTGTGGGCTACAGAGCTGCGATCACAGCCCGCGCTGTGAAATCTAAAGTACCGAATGCATTGTGGGATAGAAAATGTCAAGTGGGAGGTGTTGTCCCCAGGACTTTGCATTCATCATTGTTATTGCCTGTGTTTGGCTGCTGATCTAGGCAGATTCTCTTATATATATAGTGGCTTGGTGTGCATTATTGGAAGTGACTTGGTGGAGTGGAGGACGCCTGCATTGGCAAATGTTGAAGACTGTGCAGGAGAGGCCACTTTAATGGGCTTTTTCTCTTTCTCTGACAGCCTGCTGTTCAGATGGAGCTACTGAATTTTAAACAGCTCGCAGTGTAACAAACAGCCGTGCCGCTTTCCAATGGTTTCCAGGAAGGGACCCAGTAAAACACACGTTGCATAAGCAGTTGTCATACGGCCTCTTACAAATCACCGGGGATTGTGTAAGCAAATGCCATTAGCCGCTGTCTTGTCCTATAAACATATGGAGTCTGGTCATCCATTCTGCTTCATAGCTGGGTAGCAGCTCTGTCAACCTCAAGTGGAAACTGAATATATTTGTTTAAAGAAACTTGAATATTAGTAAGCCTGTAGTGCGCATATTTTCTCTGAGGAGAGGTAGTACTCTTGGGCCAATTTTATAACCATGACTGTGTTGCCATTTCAAAACAAATGGGTAAACACTAGTAGTTGCCGATATACCGAAGAATTAAATTCTTCTCTGGTATGAGTTTTGTCACAAATGTAGGATGCAAATACACAAATAATTGCAGTTCACACTAATGTTATCCCATTTAGTGGCTGACTCATGGATGTTGACAGAGAAGAGTGGCCTGTCTTTTCGGATTGCCTTGGCCTAACATGGACACCAGACCGATTGCCAAACTTGCTCTTGTATCGCCTGAGAATCCACCTGACTCAGCTGCATCAGACAAGGCCACAGTCGGGGCCTTGTGCACAAAACAAACCACGGACCAACTGGTACTGAAGCAGAATGACTGTAATATTTTTCGAATTCCAGCAGTGCCTGACAGTTAGAGGAGCGAGTTCTTTGTGAAATTTGACGAAGCTGAAGTTCTCATTCGTAATTTTCATTCCACCTTAAATGGTACAGCAATCACATTCAGACACCTGTACAGTACCAAAGTGTAACTGCTTCTCCAAATAAGGTGGAAAGGAAACAATCAAGCAAAAAGCTGTCCAGTGAGAAGCCTATTAAGAAACTTCAGCATTGTAGAAATTCAGATGTGAAACAATATTAAGCACAGTTTTTGCCGAACACACAGGGCTAGTGTTAGAAAGCAATATTGATACAGGTTTATTTACATATTGTTCAGATTTACTGTTTTGCACAAAAGAGCATCAGGACAGGAAAGGGGTAAAAGGGGGCAAGAAGACAGAAGGACTACAGTCTGTAATTGTAGAACTAAAAAGTGCACTAATATGGTAAGTGGAGCTGATAAAATGTGTGTATATATATATATATATATATATATATATATATATATATATATATATATATATATATCATCAACCATGTGTGTCCTGGATCCATCATCCTCATTACGTGTGTTATTCTGACCCCATCACCATCATGTGGTTTTTATATATATATATATATATATATATATATCACTGTTGTCGGAAGAAAACCTATATATATATATGTGTGTGTGTGTGTGTGATGCAGGTGTCACTGGGTCTATGAGCAGAATGTACAGTAAAGTACATAAAGTGTTCCCATAGTAAAGTGTTCTTAACAAGTGTAGACTGCATGTTTCATAAGCATAGATTATCTACATGGAGTTCTATGTGTTTTTATGAATATTGAGCCCTGAATATTGAGCCCTGGTTTTGTGGTTTTGTCTAATTGCCATCGTGTTACAGTTTACATTGTAAGTCAATATTCTCAATTAAAGATAAGAGAGAAAATAAGCTATTCATCTCTTTCCTTCTGTATTTTAGTATCGCTGTATGCAGCTGCTGTTGTTGCACTGTGCTGTTATTGAAATGCATCTAAATTTGGAGCAGAGTTGTTGTTTTAAGACTCTGTTTGTTGCCGCTTTTTGTCAGTAGGGGAAAAACGCGGCATGTGTTTTAAGCTGAGAGAGCGCACAGCGGTGTGTCCGTCTCGAACACGAACAGATTTACTGCAAATGAGATCATCTATCAGCAGGGGAGCGAGGGATGAAGGAGAGAAGCAAGAGGGCGGCCGGAGGAGACACCTCAGTCTCAAAGGAGCCACATTTATCAGCCAGAAGCCTCTGGCACATGAAGTCTGATGTTATTCTACAAACAGGAGACTCCTGATGATGGTGGCTAGTACATTGTTCTGGGGAGGAAAAACCAACAAGGAACAGTTGTGACAAATTGAGCTTTTGGTTTTGTGAAATGACCTTCAGATCATGAAGACTTCAGAATAGCTACTGTACAGTATGATGTCCAACAAGCACCAATAAACCCAATTATTGTGTTGGTGTGCTTCTCTAGAACATTCTGATTTGTCTCTGCAATTCTTTTTTCTGAAATACTGTAAAGCCAATGTCAATTGATGGTGTTTGAACGAGAATGATAGTGTTTGTTGGAGAATGTTGACGTTTGATGGAGAATGTTGGTGTTTTGATTGAGAATCTTGGTGTTTTGATGGAGAATGTTGGTGTTTATTTGGTGTTGGTCAATGATAGTGTTTGGTGGAGAATGTTGGTGTTTTGATTGACAATGTTGGTGGTTGGTGGCTTGTGTTTGGTGGAGAATGATGGTGTTTGGTGAAGAATGTTGGTGTTTTGATGGACAATGTTGGTTGTTGGTGGCTTATGTTTGGTGGAGAATGTTGGTGTTTTGATGGACAATGTTGGTGGTTGGTAGATTGTTGCTTGGAGAATGACGGGGTTTGGTAGAGAATGTTGGTATTTCGATTAACAATGTTGGTGGTTGGTGGCTTGTGTTTGGTGGAGAATGATGGTGTTTGGTGAAGAATGTTGGTGACTGGTGGAGAATGACAGTGTTTGTGGAGAATGTTGGTGGCTGGTGGAGAAGAACAGTGTTTGGTGGAGAATGTTGATGTTTTGATGGACAATGTTGGTGGTTGGTGGCTTGTGTTTGCTGGAGAATGATGGTGTATGGTGGAGAATGTTGGTGTTTTGATGGTCAATGTTGGTGGTTGGTGGCTTGTGTTTGGTGGAGAATGATGGTGTTTGGTGGAGAATGTTGGTGTTTTGATGGACAATGTCAGTGGCTGGGAGCTTGTGTTTGGTTGAGAATGATGGTGTTTGGTGGAGAATGATGGTGGTTGGTGAAGAACGTTGGTGTTTTGATGGACAATGTTGGTGGTTGGTAACTTGTGTTTGGTGGAGAAAGACAGTATTTGATGGACAATGTTGGTGCTTCGTTGGACAATGTTGGTGGTTGGTAGCTTGTGTTTGGAGGAGAATGATAGTGTTTGATGGAGAATGTTGGCGCTTCTTTGGACAATGTTGGTGGTTGGTAGCTTGTGTTGGTGGAGAATGATGGTGTTTGATGAAGAATGTCGGCGCTTCTTTGGACAATGTTGGTGGTTGGTAGCTTGTGTTTGGAGAAGAATGATAGTGTTTGGAGGAGAATGGTGGTGTTTGCTGGAGAATGTTGGTGTTTTGATGGACAGTGTCGGTGGTTGGTAGCTTGTGTTTGGTGGAGAATGATGCTGTTTGGTGAAGAATGACAGTGTTTTGATGGACAATGTTGGTGGTTGGTGGCTTTTATTTGGTGGAGAATGATGTTTGTTGGAGAATTTTAGTGGCTGGGGAGAATCACAGTGTTCGGTGTTTGATGGAGAATGTTGGTGCTTCTTTGGACAATGTTGGTGGTTGGTAGCTTGTGTTTGGAGGGGAATGACAGTATTTCAATGTGCTTTTTGGGGAATGTTGATATTTTGGTGGAAAATGATATGTTTGTTGGGGATTTTGTGTTTGGAGGAGACTATTGTTTCACAGTCCATTTTGTAAATGAGTTAAATGAATAAAAGAAAAGCAAAGAAAAATGTAGTACACTAACCCTTTAAGTTATTTCAAACCAACAAAGAAATGCTCATTTATGCTCATTTCATGAAAAAGATTCTGAAAAGCTAGGTGTCCAAAAACTTTTGACATGGATGTATTTAGCTGAGCTTAGGATAAGCGATCTGAAGCACTAGATTTTTCACAAAATCCTAAATCTAGCTTTACAATCCCCTTAGGTTGTGTTCTTTTGCGAGAAGGACAATGTGAGTGTGCCCTTATGACTAAGCAGAACAGGATTATAGCAAGCCAGCACTATCTGACTTGACACTGTGTTTTTTTGTTTTTTTTTTCATAGGCACCCAAGGCAGAGATCAGCGAGGATGATGACGGCGGCCTGTGTCACACGAGCCCTGCGGACACTTCACAAGAAAATAAGGTATTAGTCAGCGGTGGGTCTTATGAGAGCACGAAGACGTGCGAGGAGGCGAGATGAAGAGATGTGAAACTTTTTCTAATTAAACTCGGCCGGTTCATTGACTGATGAACTACCTCTTGGAATGTAACACTTTGAGAATTGGGCCTGTGGGTGGCTCTCTGCCAGTTACTTTACCACAGTATCAGGGGTCATTCGAGGATGGCAAGTTTTTTTTTTTATTAGAATCAGAATCAGAAGCTTTCTTTGCCAAGTCTGTTTGCACATGCAAGGAATTTGTCTTTGGTGAGTGGGCCGCAACCTAACACATCTCTTTATTATTAAATCATTTTCAAAAGTATTTGAGCAACACTTAGAAGCATAGAAGCAACCTAAACACATGTGCTACAAATGAAAATGTAAGCTCTGTTTCCAGTACTTGCCATTTATGAGCAATTTGGCTGTAAGTGCCATGAATGGCACTCTTACAACTTACTCTGTAGCTGAGATCAGTTGTAGCAGGCTGAAGGGCTCATTCGAGCATTTGCTAGAAAAGTCTGGTTAATTGACACAACAGAAGTAATTTAGTGTAATTTTATGTTGTTTGAACTAAATGGACTTCCCCACCTAAATACATAACCATATGAAAAAGGTTTGAAAACCCCTGCTCAAATTACGTTTCATTGATTTTTGGAAAAAAAAAAATTCCAAATTTATTTATCAAATATATTTTTGCAATGTATGAAAACAGCCAAAAAACATTTGCTCGATATATATACATTAATAAAATGCATTTATTTGTATTTGTTATTATATGTTTTTAATTGTTTGTAGTTTTAACAAAGGTTACAGATATAACTAGATCTACAATGAATGATACTGACTTCTGTGTTACAAAATATACAAAATATATACCCATATATATGTTTTTCTCTATGGGCAGAGAACACAACTTTCAACTAATTTTTGTGCAAAATTTCTATTTATTTGCTGAATTTAACATCATCATCATCATCATCATCATCGTTAACCGCTTAGTCCAGATAGGGTCGCGGTAGCAGTTGGGAGAGCAGAGAATCCCAGGTGACCCTGTCCCCCGCAACTTCCTCCAGCTCATTCCCGGGGACCCCAAGCCGCTCCCAGGCCAACTTGGAGATATAATCCCTCCAGCGGGTCCTAGGATGACCCCGGGGTCTTATTCCGGTAGGCCGTGCCTGGTAAACCCCCACCGGGAGGTGTCCAGGGGGCATCCGGATCAGATGCCCGAACCACCTCAGCTGGCTCCTCTCAATGCGGAGGAGTAGTGGCTCTACTCCGAGCTCCTCCCGGATGGCCGAGCTCCTCACCCTATCAAATAGAGTGTAGCCCGCCACCCTGCGAAGCAAGCTCATTTCTGCCGCTTGTATTCGCGATCTCATTCTTTCGGTCATTACCCACAGCTCATGACCATAGGTGAGGGTCGGGATGTAGACCGATCGGTAAACAAAGAGCTTCGCCTTACGGCTCAGCTCCCTCTTCACCACTACAGTCCGGTACAGCGACCGCATTACTGCTGCCGCTTGTCCCAGCCTGCGGTCGATCTCACGATCCTTCTTCCTATCACTCGTGAACAAGACCCCGAGATACTTAAACTCCTCTACCTGGGGCAGATCCTTTCCCCTTACCTGGAGTGGGCATACCATCCTTTTCCAGGCTAAGACCATGGACTCAGACTTGGAGGTGCTGATACGCATACCAACCGCTTCACACTCAGCTGCAAACCGCTCCAGTGTGCGCTGGAGGCATCCATGTGATCCAGCCAAAAGAACAACATCATCTGCAAATTTAACATATAGGCAAAAATTAAATAGTGTGTTTAATTAAGCATATCTACAGTAATTGTGTATTAAAATGTACGGAAGACTGTGTTCTCTTCCTTTCGTGTAATTCAACAAAACATAATTTGACCAGGGACACCCCAACTTTTGCATACAACTGTTCAAAATATGAAGAACGAAATATATAGGAAAACTGGAAAAATGGCTGCGTCAAATACTGACAAATTTATTGACGACCACAAAATAGAAAAGCCAATATCAGCAAGACAAAAGTATAATTCATTTACACAGGCAGACGGACAGATAACTTTATTGTCCATTTCTAGACATTTGCCTTTGGCTTCACAATTCAGCACTTACACAGACAATATAAAACATAACATGGGGGAGCTTCACATAAATTATATACACTTACAAAAAGTTGTCATTTTACTATTCAGATCCCTGGATAGATTAAATTATAAATTCCTCAAAGAACTTGCTTGTGGAATAAAGCACCACTCAAAAAAGTTTTTTGTGACCTTTGGTGCCCTAAAATGTAAGGGAGCTTTTTAAAGTCCTTCAAAAGAGAATCTGAAGACTCCATGAGAATCTGCTGGTTCTCCTGTCCATTAAAGGCCTCATACACCTCACATACTGTAGCTGTCTTTGTGATTTTCCTATGATTTTCTCTACTGACAACTCTAGACAATTTCTTCCTATTCCGTACTCCAGGAATGCTATACCGAGTAGGAATGTTGTAAGTTCAAACACTCTCAATAATACTTTTGCAAACTAGCTCAAAAATATCCACTCTTACAGAAAAGCTGTTTCAATTCCTAAGCAGATGTAACCATTGCAAAGCCCTTTGGTAGATATATATAGAATGAGTTGTGAAGATTAATCCACTATCTAACTTAGTTGAAACAGTCTAAAAACAAACCCCCCTTGTGGAGGCTGCACTTTAGCCTGGTTTCATTCAGTCCCGTTGACACAGGTGTATAAAATCAAGCACCTAGCCATGCAGTCTGCCCATTTGTGAATTAATGGGTTGTTCTAAAGAGTTTACTCAATTCAAACATGGGACTGTAATAGGATGCCACTGTTGCAACAAGTCAGTTCACAAACTTTCTTCCCTCCTAGATGTTCCACGATCTACTGTGAGTGGTATTGAACAGTGGAAGCATTTAGGAACCACAACAACTCAGCCACGAAGTGTCAGACCAGGTGAAGTTACAGAGCAGGTCGCCGACTGCTGAGGCACATAGTGCATAAAAGTCACCAACGCTCCGCTGACTCAATAACTGCAGTGTTCCAAACATTAACATTAAGCATTAACAGCAGCACAAAAACTGTGCACAGGGAGCTTCATGGCAGGGTTTCCATGGCCGAGCAGCTGCATGCAAACATTATATCACCAAGCACAATGACAAGCATCTATTGGAAGTGGTGTAAAGCGCCACTGGACTCTGCAGCAGTGTAAACATGTTCTGTGGAGCGACGAATCACACTTTTCTATCTGGCAGTCTGATGGACGAATCTGGGTTTGGCGAATGCCAGGAGAACATTACCTGCCTGACTGCGTTGTGCCAACTGTAAAGTTTGGTGGAGGAGGGATGATGCTATGGGGTTGTTTTTCAGGGGTTGGCCTAGGACCCTTAGTTCCAGTGAAGGGAAATCTTAATGCTTCAGCAGACCAAGACATTTTGGACAATTCTATGTTTCCATCCTTGTGGGAACAGTTTGGGGAAGAACCTTTTCTGTTCCAGCATGACTGAGCCCCAGTGCACAAAGCAAGGTCCATAAAGGACTCGCTGGGTGAGTTTGGTGTGGAAGAACTTCACCGACCCTCACAGAGCCCTGACCTCAACCTCGTCGAACACCTTTGAGATGAACTAGAACAGAGATTGTGAGCCAGGCCCTCTCGTCCAACATCAGTGTCTGACCTCACAAATGCTCTCCTGGATGTATGCAAAAATTCCCACAGACACTCTAAAATCTTGTATAAAGCTTCCCAGAAGAGTGGAAACTGTTATAGTTGCAAAGGGGGACCAACTCCATATTAATGCCTATGGATTTAGAATGGGATGTCATAAAAGCTCCTGTAGGTGTAATGTGTAGGTGTCCCAATAAGAGCGAATAAAATAACACACAGCGGGATTCAAAAGTCTCAAAGATCATTATTGAATATGGTTCTAGTTTTCACATTTTTCTGCAGTTTTTTCATTATAAATTAGATTAGCAGCATAACAATTTGCATGCAAAGTGGAATCCTTGAAATACGTTCTTAGTATTTGGTACAGTATGTTCTTCTGCTTTAATGACTGCATGTACTTGAGCTGGCATGGAATCCAAGTTTGTGCAGAAGCCTCTAATAAGTAGATCAAATCTGTCTGAGAGTGGGAGCTTCAATGGAGTATGACCTTTTTGCACACCATCCTCAGTGTCACAAATTTGTTATCTAGAATCCAAAATGTAATTATTATTATTATTATTATTATTATTATTATTATTATTATTATTCATTTATTATTATTATTAACTTTTCTTTGGCTCAAATGAATTCCATTCATTTTTCACAATGTCTGCATTATTCAGTGGCTGGGATGTCAACAGTCATTCAGAGTGGTTTAATGTGAAATGATTCATTTGTAGAGAAACTTGCAGACTGATTTCTTCACAGTGGTGCTGAGAGGAACCAGAGATCACTATGTCTACAACACAAATATAGCCATTTTATTTACTATCCAAAACCACCAGTGAACCTACATGTCTTCTGATTTTTTTTTCTGTAACATTGATGGTGGTAAAATAGTGATAAATCTGGAAAAAAAAGTTTATTTGGGGACTATTTTGCCTTAGAAGCTCCTTCATATATCCCTCCACCATGAATATGATTAAAATGTATTGATTAGAATATGTTTTAGACCAAACCTTTATCACAAAACTACCATAAAAATGTCTCATAACCATTTGATGTGATAACTTTCTGTGGCGTAGTTTATAGAGGTGGACGTCTGGTTCCTATCACCACCACTGTGAACAATACTCACTCTGTGAATTTCTCTAGAACAGAGGATTTCATGCCAAACTACTCTGAATGACTCTGTTTACCTCTTAATCATTTAATTAAACATAAAATTTCTATTTATTTCCAGGTTTAAATAAAAATGAGGTGATTTCTGTAATCAGAACTCACTTATGATGAAGACAGCTACTTTCATTGGACTAAAACAGTGTTCAGGGTGAATCTTGAGAAATGACCTTCGCACAGCTGTCGGAATTCTCTGATGATGTTGCTATGGCAGTGCATGAAGATCACCAGCATGTTCTACTTGAAACTCTTTAACTATGTAAAAATGACATGGAGTACATTTTACCCCAAGTGAAGTTGTACCCCACGATCACATAGACATCCATTACAGTATTCGTTCATGCATACGCGGTCAAAAAGTGACGCTGACATCAGTGGTGTGCAAAAGTTTTGGCGCCCCTGGTCAAATTGCATGTTTTCTGAGTGAAAATAATTCAATGCATCCTCTACAGAGAACACACATCTGCACATATTAATACACAATTACTGTTTATTTACTGGATTTAGCATATTGAAGAAAAAAAATACACAAATGTTTGCTGTGCAAAAGTTATGGCACATTTTATGTATGTTTAACGCAGCAAATAAATAAATTAATTCAAGAAAACATGTTTCATTATATTATCTGTGGAAGATCTTAGAAAATTAACAAAACATGTCATTTGAATGGATGTGTACCTGTATTCTTTCACATAGATGCACAATTGAGTATTAAGGATATAGTTTTATTTTCATATCTATGATTAGTTTCGAGGCATGTGGTCTTCTGCTGATCTGGATTCCTTTCTCTTTTTTCCTTCAGAAATCGCCTCCAAAGCGTCTGAAAGCCGGGAGAAGAGCGGACCCCGACAGTCTCTGGAAGCATCTTTGGCACTCAAGGTTAGATTTCCCATTGTGCCATAATTACGCTCTGTGGCTGTGTCAATAATTTAGTTGAAATCAGTGGCCTCCACAGATGCTGGGGGATTACCTAATCAGGGGTCTGTTTGTCTGTTTGCAACACAGATTTCCTGCTGAAATTTTCTCGTTGTTTGTTTGTGGAATGTGTGCTGTAAGACATTTGACTTATTTCCTGCATTCGGCTCAAAATAGCCTTAGTCTGCGTACTGAGTTCCTATTCAGATGAAAGGAGGTTGTCAGAAGCGTTAACTGGAATAAAAGTAGAGTCATATTGTGTAAAATCCAACTGAAAATATGTTTGGGATCGTTTATCACATTCTTTTTTGTTGTTTTCTATAAAATAATAAAGAAAAAATAAAGATAATAAACTAGAAACTAGTTTCTAGAAATATAATGTATAATGTATAATTCATTATTAATACATTTTTAGTTTCTTTATAACTTGACCCAAAAGGGATTTTATTTAATAATTTGTGTCATATATATATATATATATATATGTATATATATATATATGTGTATGTATATATATATGTATATATATAAAACACAATATGTCATATTGTGTCATATGAATGTATATATTCTATATTGATAATTGCAAAAGTTATGGCACATTTTATGTATGCAAATAAATTAATTAATTCAAAAACCATATGTAATTATATTATCTGTAGAAGGTCTTAGAAAACTGACAAAACATTTGACTATATGTGTTCACAAGTCTGGGATCATGTATCACATTCATTTTTGTTGTTTTCTACGAAATAATAAAGATAAATAAAGATAAAATGATACATAAAGATATAACAACAACTAGAAATGTAATGTACAATTTCATTATTAATAAATAAAAAAGGTCATTTTAGTTCACTTATAACTTGTCATGTAAGTGTCATGTATCCTATATTTATAATTATCACTTTTTTATGCAATAATAACTTAGACAAAGTAGAGTTAGATATTAGAGATGTCTTATTTTGATGATTAAATAACAAATGATGTATTATTATATGAGCTCTTACCAACTATAATGTTGGATAGTAATTTTATTCATTTTTAACACTTGAAGGGTGTCTGCATATCACATTCATAACATCTTACATAAACACTTCATAACATATAAATGAATGTTTAAATCAACATTTATAAAGTATACATATTTTACATTATATTAATATGGACTGCTGTGTCATTTTACTAAGATATATTTTTCAAAATAAAAGTCCTCATTTTTTATTTCAAAAATGTATTTTCAGTAAAACGTTTCATTTGTTGACCGCTTTGACACTGAGGCACATTTCACATATACCTTTACTTTTATATGTTTTTTCTTAAGCATTTGTTGCTTTACATGTCACTTCATTTATTTGACACAATATGTCATATTGTGTCATATAAGTGTCATATATTCTATTTTAATAATTGCAAAACTTATGGTCATTTTTATTTTGGCTGTCCAGAAATGATGTGTTTCACTGATAACAATTTAGTTTTGCAAAATAATAATTAGGACTTTTATTTTGAAAAAAGAAAAGTCTCTCACTAAAATTACATAGTACTCCATATTAATATCATATAAAACATGTATGCTTTATAAATGTTGATTTAAACGTTCATGAACATGTCATGAAGTGTTTACGTAAGATGTTATGAATGTGTTATGTAGACCCCCTTCAAGTACAGTGTTACCAATTTTATTATGTACCTTGATGCTTGACAGGTTGTTCGATCAGAAACAGTGAAGCTGCATATGTCTTTAACGTTTAATACACTTATGTCTATAATAAATATTTAAATATTGAAAACTGACAGCTAGTCTTGGAGAAGTTACTGCAATGACAATACAGCTATAGAATGGCTGCGCTGGCTGCCGTCCATATGTGGAATACAATACCTACGAGAATTAAAACCTCTTTGTGGCCTCTTTTGAAGAGTGCTTGTTTGGAAGTGGTGCGTGAACTCAAAAACTCATCCATCGGCGCTTTCCAGCTGTCGTAAAACGTCAGTCTGATGCTGCTGGACAGCAGTGGGTTGCTGTAGGGTCAGTCTGCTATGAGAAAGGTGTGGAGATGCTTAATCAGTTGTTGGAAAAGGACGCTGTGTCCCTGTGTAACGACATCATTTATTGTCTCTAGTCTTTTTGACGCAAATCTGCAATAAAATTGAATGAAGTGCTTCATTCACCTCTCTCTCTCTCTCTCTCTCTCTCTGTCTTTTCCAGTTTATCACTCTATTTTTCCTTTTCCCTCTTCCTCAACCCCAGTGGCTGGAGTACAGTCTGAGCCTGGCAGGCATCACCGGTGGCATTTGGTGTATGAAGGGGGGGATATAACATATTGTTTCTCCGCAGGCCCCTCTCTCTCCGGGCATGGCAAAATGGTTGACATTTATGACAGACGCTGATAGGGCCCAGAATTCTGAATTATTTATGCCAAAGCTGGGGCGCTCTGGCATTTTTGAGAAGTAAAACACAATTACTGTGGCTGGCTTTCGCTCAGGCAGAAGTTACTGCTCGCACATCGGACCCAGTGCACACTTTACCTCCAGCGTTGTTTTGGCTTTTGCTGTTGGTTTTCATGCTTGCTGGAAATGTCTGTGTTGTTTTTCCTGGATTGTGTCCACCAAGCGATGTGACCTTCTGAGCACAATGAACGACATTACAATACAAACAGCACAATCATGTTTATCTCTGCAGATGCTCGGCACATTGTGGAGTTTAGGGAGAAGGCCTCGCCTTTCTGACTTCCTATCCTAATGTTTCAGTCACGTGATTTTTTTTGTTGTGGCTGCCATATTTAGGATGAACGTAACTAGAGGTGAAAGATGGCTAAAATTACTCTCTTTACTTTGGAAGAGAAAAAATGTTACCTCAACAAAGTCGATAAAATAGGCTGAGATCCTTACAGTTTCCCCTGAACTCCTGATCCCACTTAAACTGGCAGAAAAGCTACCAAATTTGTGTTTTCCTGACATTTATATTTATCTCATACTCAGGCCCTGATTCTGTAAGTTTGCTGGTGCAGTTAGTGCAGAGTTCAGCTCCAGTCCTGCAACCCCTGCACTGCATGACTGTGGTTTCCCTGGTTAAAATACCTGATATTATTAGCTAATTAATCCCTTCTTGAGCTGAACGAGGTGTGAACAGCAGAGAGAAACACTGAACTATACAGTGCAGGGGGTCCAAGCCTGAGTCTGAAGATGCTGAATTAAAGGTCTGTGTGTCTCTCGTTATTCTCAGCTTCTGTCGCGTCTTGCAGGTGAATCATTCACAAAGCACAGCAAAGTGAAAGCATTGCGCTGGTGCAGCCACTCCCTGATTCGGCCCTCAAAATGGTGGTACATAGTCAGTGTGACGTCACACGTCTATCTGACTTGGACTTCACACCTAATTCCTTTTGCTGTGAGTGACCCTACACCTATTTTTATTTTATTAAAATAAATGATTGATTTATCCTTTTGTCACTACCAAATCAATCATAACACTACAAAAAAAACTTTATCAAATGTTTCAGTAGTGACTGTTTCAGTTGTGATAATTTTAGTTCATTTTTAACAAAGCTTTAAATTCTAGCCAGTACATGACTATCAAACACAGCTTTGAACAGTTGCACTGCAAAAATTGATATCTTAGTGAGTGTAAACATCTTAAATATAGTCAATGGATCTCCTTTTCTCATTATGAGAGTTGTAAGAATACTGTAAGATGTTTTTTACTTATTTCCAGACATGTTTTACTTGTTTTTAAGCAGTTCTATCTCATGAAAGTGTCTTGTTCCATTGGCAGATCATGTTCTGTGTTTTAAGCATTACTTTTTGAAATAATCAAAATTATCTTCATTATTTCTCGAAACAAGTAAACTCATCTGCCAATGGAATAAGACACTCTCACTAGATGAAATCACTTAAATCAAGAAAAATGTACAGAAACAGATGGAATATTCTTATAATATTCTTACAACAGTCTTATAATGAGAAATATTAGATATATTGACTACATTTAAGTCATTTTTACTTATTAAAATATTATTTTTTGCAGTGTGTACACTCATGAATTCCTAATATTTTTGTTAAAATCCAAAATGAATCACAGAAAATATGTTTCTTTAGTGACAGTTCTTAATATTCCACACTGATTTTCAGACTTTTGGAGACATTCACTCGAAAACGATGGGATCTAACTGCTCACCATGTGTCCATGAAGGACAAGGATGCAGTCTCACTTGCTGCTCTGACATGAACTAAAACTCTTTGCCTATGTTCGAAATAGCCAACTACATACTTCTTATATACTGTTTGTGCCTAAAAACAGTAAGTAGTGTGCAGTATGTGAACGTGAATTTCTCCAGTATGCCAGAGATACCCAGATGACATACTGTTCTGGCCAAATTTTCCATAGGCAGGGTTATCTACATGATATACTGCATCCCAAAATACAGCATGGCTATTTTATGAAAATGTAACCACTGATGTAAACGCCTGGTTTGCTCCATACAGTTTAACCTTTTTTAATGGCCAAGGTCTGCTGGCAGGCCCAAAGTTTTATTACACACTTCTAAAACCTAGGGCCCATTCCCATTTCTTATGTTTACCCCTACCCCTTGTTTTCAAGTGTCACCTTGCCCCTTGGAACTGAGTTACAAGGAGCAGCATTTGAAATCTTCCCAGATGAAATGGGACCCTCAAATAAAGAAGGACATTGCTTCATTAACAGCTACTAACGCTGCTCTGTAGGTGACCCTGCCAGTCTGCAGTGACAGCAGAGGAGGGTAAAGTTCAGCTCCTCACTGCTGGGCAATTATTTATTATCGCCCACCCCTAATTCTTCAGTGATATGAAGCTGAAGTCAGATATTCACCAGTTTCTCGTTCGAATTTTCCTGTTCCACCTTAAATGGAGCAGCAGTTACGTTCTGGCGCTTCAGGCATCAGAACTGCTGGACTATATAAGATGGAACGGGAAAGTTAGCTAGCTACTGAGACATCAGCATACTATTAGCAAATTTTTATGCTTGTTATGAAGAAAGGGACCAAAATACATTGAAACGACATTAAACTAAGATAAAACAATGGTTATTGTAATTTTTTGTGTATTTCTTTGGTTGCTTGTACAGCCATCTTGCCGGTTTTTCTTTTTTTCTCTAACACTCTGTTTGGAGTGTGTCTCGGAAAAACCTCAGTTTGGAGGGCAGTGTAGCCCTAACACTTTGCCCTACCCCTCCATCTCAACAAAAATTGGAACACCCTACCCCTAGGCATGAATACACAAATGGATGGCTAAGGGTGAAGTGGTAGGGGCGAGGGGTGAAGGACTGGGCCTTTGAATAGCTCAGCGAATTCGCACTAAAGTCCTTTTAGTTACTGAATAATAAACCTTAGTCTGTAATAAACCTGGGATTTTAAGGGGTTAATAGGAACGGTTTCAGACTCATATGGACATATAAGTAAAATCGAAGAAAATAATTTGTCCTTCTTTTTGATTCTCTTCTGGTCTTGAGGTGGTTTTGCTCACTTTGTTTATTATTTGTTTATAAATTACTGCATAGATAACATGGTTAAAACAATAACATAAAGTTGGTCTCAACCAAACAACCTGCTCAGCATCAGCTTTTCAGCCTCCCATATCAAGTCACACTGCTTTTTATTCAGGCAGTCTAGCTCATATTACCAACTGTGAATGTAATGACTTGCAAATGGAGGAAAACAGGCGTGTTTGGAAACCGCAGACAAACCCAAAGCTGACATTTCGAAAGTTTATTTGTGGATTTGGAGATGGGTAGAAGGCAAAACCCTTCGCTCTGTCATGGTATTATTTTAAAAAACAGCAGACACGTCTCTCCACCAAACTGAATCCAACTAAACAGGGCTGAAAAGTGGCTTGAAACTGTTGCTAAGTGATTGAGGAAAATAGGGCAGGTTTTGAGATAGTTCTGATGGTCCTAGTCCTGGACGTTGACAGTCTAGTCACACTGTTGTCCTTTGTGGTACAGCACACAGGTTTTGTTGTCTACTGGGCACTGCTCTGCATGCTACTACACGTTAGTACTATGCTATGTTAATGCTGTCCACAGTATGTTGTTTTGCAGTATGCTGTTTCAAACCCAGCACTTGTGTTTCAGTGACATGAAAATGAGGGACAGCATTTTTTTAACCCCTTAACGTTCCAGGTTTGTTTCATAAAAATGCTCATTATTCAGTAAGTCATAGAAGTGGTGGGCCCATGGCTTATTAAGGGGTTAATCAATGCTAAAATAAATTTTTTTAACTTCACTTTATAAGAAATTTAAAAAATTAAAAGTTTTATGTATGTTTAGCTTCTTTAGCTCAATTAATGAAGGGTTTAAATAGATCATAAAATAATCCTTATAAATACCTCAGGTCTGAATATTCTTATTTATTTATTTATTGCTGTGGAACCACAGTTTGAACCAATTCACTAGAATAGTCCATATATTTTTGGAAAATCAAGATAAATGGTTGGGGCCACCACTTTTACCAGATTCTCAAGATAAACACAAAGACAGTCTCCATAACTGTTCTCATGTTTTTTGTTGAATCTTGCTTAAACTAACTCTTGCATATTTTATTGACTACCCTTCACCACTGGACCATCTCAAACATACCATTTCGTCTGCCCTTTTCCTGGACAATGTCTGTCTTGAAGAGCTTTAGTTTTGGCTACTCCTCCTTTGGGCTAAGCAGTGTTGTTGTCTTTGTGGTTGTTTTATTTTTCTCATCATTTATATTAATTATTTCTAATAACTATGTAGTTATACATTAATAACAGGCAATGACAATGTAACTACAGGTGATGTGTTCACTGTTACAGATGGATTACACTAGTACAGCTAACATGAATACACAAGACTCAACTTCAGCTTTCACTCATGTAATTACACAAGTGTATCTTAATAGCTGTAGCAGCACATTTTCTCTTGTGTAATTACACAGACGTAACAGAGTTAATTGCTGTTTTTCTAACAAGACCATATATTTGATGATCATTTTCCCAACAGGAAGCTGGTCCTGGCAGTGAAGCAGGGTTGCAGCTACTTTCACCTCCTCCAGGAACAGGAGGTGCAGGAGGAGCAGCAGAGGGAAAAGAGGAGGAGAGAGGAGAGGAGGAAAAGAGCAATCCGACCTCCTTCCGTTTCCTCTGACTCAGACACAGACAGAGAGGCAGAGAGGTAGGACTGTACATCATATGTTTCCTGCTCAGCGATTAGTGGATTTGTATGTAATAGACTGTGAGTAAGAGGAACATGCACTACTATAAAGGGGTTGGGATCACAAGTTGGGATCGTTGCAATACATGGAATTTGGCACCAGAACAATCGTTCTGCTTTGACTGGCGGGCTCCCAAAATGATAGGAACCTCTACAGCTCGAGGGCCAGGGCGAGTGACAGCCAAAGTAGCGCCTATTCATTACACAGCCCCTGCTGGTCAGGGGTCCACATCTCATTTGGACTGGTGAACAATCATCTCAATTTCACATCGGCTCATCTTTTCCTGACAGGGCAAGCGGGAAAAGAACAATGACCATTTATATGTTGTTGTTATTTAGATTTGTTGTATATTAGAGTTTTAGGATTATTTTCTTTGGCATGTTCTAGACTCTCGGAAAAAAAGGTACTGAACTGTCTCCCCTCTTGTCGCTGGGGTGGTACATGCAAAGGCAAGTCTCCAGTATCTTTAATTAGGGAACATGATTGTGCCACAATCCATTGCAGTGACATTTTTTAAGTTGTATTGACTCACACACTGCCTCGTCTCCAGCCTTTTTATTTTAGTGTTCTGTTTTAAACTATTTAAAATTTCCACTGGGAAAGATTTATTTAATGTGGACAATTGGACCTTTTACACATTTACACAGTCTGTGCCTTGATGAACGAGAAATGTACCTGCACAGTACATTTATTTCTGGCAGTGTACTAGTTATGTTTAACCTTTTAAATGGCCAGGGTCTGCGGGTGGGCCCAGAGTTTTATTAAACTCTTCTATAATCTAAGAATAGCTCAGCCAGTTTGCATTGAAATCCCTACACTCTCAGGAAAAATGTACGAAATTGTCACTTGGGTGGGACCCTCAAGGGTACATCTCAGTACCTTTAGTCAGGAAACATAACTGAACCATAATCCACTGAAATTATATATTTTAAGTTGTACTGACTCCACACACCCTGTCTCGTCTCCAGGCTTTTATTTTATTGATCTGATTTAAAATATTATATTATGAAAAGGTACAAATATGTACTTTCCACCTGGGAAAACTTATTTAAGGTTCACAATTGGACCTTAAAACCACTGTTATACCTTTGAGGGAACATTTACATTGCTTGTACCTTGAAGAACAAAAAATGTACCTGCACAGCACCTTTATTTCTAACAGTGTGTAGTTACTGAACAATAAGCCATTGTATGTAATAAGCCTTGGCTTTTTTTTCCAAAGCAATTGATTAATATACCCAAAAAATATTTCGTACATTCATAAAGAATATGAATACAGCTCAATCCACCATTTCATTTACATTTTCGTGGCGAAATCTCTTTTAAAGCTGAGCTGTTTAAGTTGCATATTACTTTTTATCAAAAATATCTTACTTATAGTTTTATGTGGGAGCTTTCTATAAACATGGACTCTATGTCAGGCCATTTTAACAGTGTAGGACAATTCATCACAACACTGAATCCCCCTTTTGATCATCAAGGTAAACTTAAATGGAGGAAAACTGCATCAGAAGGTTGAGATAGGAAAGTTCCTTGAGATAGGAGCTGTATTCATATGTATACAGTGTTAGACTGGAAGGAGGTGGGCTATTAGGCATACCCCCCCATACCAAAAAATGAAGTTATTCCATATTTTAATGGAATAATTTCTTGTTGTTCCTAAAATACTTCAAATATTGAATAAAACCTCTTAAAACACCTTTTGTTTTCTTTATTTTCTAATATTTAAATCTAAACTGTTCAAATTATTATTGTGTATAGTCAATACATTGTATACGTATACACGTTCATCCACACATACACACACATACACACTCTCTCTCTCTTTTCTGTTTAGGGGGTGTGTTACTGCAGGGGTCTCAACAATCTGGAAGCGGAGCAGAAGAAGACGGGTTCAGTCTGCCCGGCCCTTCACTCCTGTCCACCAGTCACTGACCTCACACCAGCCACAGCAGCTAGCACAGTAAGAGACCACACCTCTATCTCTCTCTGTCTCTCTCTCTCCCTCCCTCCTTTCTCTCTCTTTCCCCATTCTTACTCTAAGTCCCAGATCCCATTTCTTAGTTTTACCCCTACCCCTTGTTTTCAAGTGTCACCTTGATGCTTGGAACTGAGTTACAAGGGGCACTAGTTGAAATCTTCCCTATAAAATGGGACAAACGTCAAATAAAGAAGAGCATTAACAGCTACTAGCGCTGCTCTGTAGGCAACTCTGCCAGTCTGCAGTGACAGCAGAGGAGGGTAAAGTCCAGCATCCTCACTGCTGGGCTTTAGTTACATTTAGGCCTTCAAAGGGTGGGGGGTGGGGGGGGGGTGGTAATTATTTATTGTCACCCACCTCTAATTCTTCAGTGACATAAAGCTGACCTCACCCTACCCCTTTATCTCAACGAAAATCTCAACGGGACACCCTACCCCTAGGCATTAGGGCTAAGTGGTAGGGGCGAGGGGTGAAATGGGATTGGGCCTTAATCTCTTGCTTTCTTGCTCTTTTTCTTCCCTGTTCCACTTTTTTCCCTGTATACCACTTTCTCTATTTCCATCTCAATCATTGTTCCTAACTCTGGCAGCACCTTTTTAGTTCACTCTGTATTTCATGCTTTGTTTCTGTCCATCTGCAAACATACAGTCATGTACAAAAGTTTGAGCACCCCAGTTGTATTTCATGTTTTGTTGATTTTCTAAGTGAAAATATGACATTTTTCTTCACATTTTTAGTGCACAATTCATCCTTATTTGCTGATTTTAATGTATTTTGAAAAAAAAATTTAACAAAAAATGCCCCACTGACCCTCCTGATGATACTCGTGCTGGGACACTCGAACTAGAACTAATTAATCTTAGACATTTTGTCACCTGCTTCACAATTTGCAAAGCTTTTCTCATATTCATGCTAACGTATCGTCATCAAAGGCTTCTAACAGTAGTCATGTCAGATGTTCACGTGTTTAACTCTCACAACTTTCATTTGACCCCTAACAGTAGTCACTTCGTAAGGAAATTTACAACCCCAATTCCAAAGAAAGTTGGGACACTGTGTAAAATGTAAATAAATGTAAATAATATAGTAATAAAACAGAATGCAATGATTTGCAAATCTCATAGACCCACATTTTATTCACAGTCGAACACAGAACACATATCAGATGTTGAAAGTGAGACATTTTACCATTTCATGAAAAACATTAACTCGTTTAGAACTTGGTGGCAGCAACGCATCTCAAAAAAGTTGGGACAGGGGCAACAAAGGGCTGGAATAGTAAGTGGTACTAATAAAAAACAGCTGGAAGAGCAATTTCCAACTAACTCGCATGACTGGGTATATAAAGAGCATTTTAGAGAGGCAGAGTCTCTCAGAAGCAAAGATGGGCAAAGATTCACTCTGGGCTCCAGCAATTGGTCTCCTCAATTCCCAGATGTTTACAGACTGTTGTTAAAGGAAGAGGGGATGCTACACAATGGTAGACACAGCCCTGTCCCAATTTTTTGAGATGCATTGCTGCCATCAAGTTCTAAATGAGTTCATGTTTTTCATGAACTGGTAAAACATCTCACTTTCAACATCTGTTTTGTGTTCTATGTTCTATTGTGAATAAAATAGGGGCGTATGAGATTTGCAAATCATTGTATTCTGTACATTTATTTACATTTTACATAGCGTCCCAACTTTTTTGGAATTGGGGTTGTACATAAATAAATCTTGACTTGACTTTAACTGAAAATATTGAATGTGCCAAAACTTTTGCACAGGCCACATTTTTATTTTTTATATGTTAAATTCAGTAAATAAGCAGTAAATGCACATGTGTAGAAGTGTGTTCTCTGTAGAGGATGTGTTCACTTGTTTACACTTGGAAAATCAACAAAGCATGTAACTTGCCTATGGGTGCCTAAACTTTTGCCTATGGCTGAATAGACCCTCAAGACAAAAGAGTGAACAGCATGTTTTAGGACTTTATCAGAGCCAGTTTATTAGGAGCCTAGCCACTTCCTATTTCCCCTTTTATATCAAAAAACAGGACTGCAAAACAGCAGAGGGCGACTGTGAGTGAGTCCTCAATGAATGGGAGTAAAAGGAGCTAAACAGCGAAAAACGAAAGGTTATAATAGTTTCTAATCATTCGCCCAGAACTTTTCTTTAATTTTAGAAAGTAGAAGGATGTATTTCACAAAAAAAAGCAAAGAAAACCCACTTATGTTTCCTTTTTTTTTTACAGCAAACAGATTTTGGGCAGCAGGACACTAACATTACTGCTACTGAGTGCTGATTGGTTGGCAAGCAGAGCAGCTCATTCACTGTTTGTACTCACTGATGTCATTGAGATATATAAGACATCGTTTTAAACTCCAATAACTCGAGTTTAAAAGCTCTTAAAAATATAACAGCAGTGTTAAAATGTTTTATGCTGTTCTGTGTTCAGGAAATGACTGTATTCTTTCATATTAAAATGTTTAAGCATTTATGAACTATGATTTTGCTCAAATGCTCCATCTTAACCCATTTATTTTGGACTCGCTCGGGGGCGCCCTCTAGTGTCTGAGAAACATTACAGAGTAGAAATTCTCCTTTCTAGAAGTTCCCTGACTTTATTAATCTTCACATAGTACATTAAACTTTTTCCAAAAACACAAAGAAAATTTAAAATTCCCTTGACTGGTTGTTGTACAGGCTTGTGTTTTCTGTGTTCTAGTCCTTCTGACTTTATCTCGGTTTGTACCGAATAAGACTTTAATGGCTCGATTTGTGTTGTGCTGAGAAAAGGGAGAGAAATCCTGCTGGGTGGTGAGGTATGGAGGCTGTAGTGGCCCTCTTTGGCCTGTATATCTGAGATTACATACTGAAAAGGTCAGTCATGCCAAAGTTGCCTGGCTGAGCGTAGGTGGCTGTTTTTGACATCCGGTCTGAATCACATTGAGCGCTGACCCTGAAGACTGAGCGCTTAATTGAAGAACAGCAGAACTATAATGACTCTCCAGACTGAATATGAAGAGAGACACACTTCACTCTGAATCAGTGAAGACTTATTTAATCACACAGAGCCTCAGCCTTGATGCTCTCTCTGTCTCTCTCTGTCTCTCTCTCTTTCTCTGTGTCCTTCCCTTTTTCTCTTTATCTCTCTCCCTCATATCTCCCTCATCTCTCTCTCTGTCCCAGCTTCTCTTTCTCTCTCCCTTCTCCTTTGCTCTCCCCTCCTGCTCTTCTTTTCACTCTCTATCACTCTCTATCTATCTCTCTCTCTTTCTCTCCTTCCCCTTTTCTCTTTATCTCTCTCCCTCATATCTCCCTCATCTCTCTCTCTGTCCCAGCCTCTCTTTCTCTCACCCTTCTCCCTTTCTCTCCCCCTCCCGCTCTTCTTTTCAATCTCTATCACTGTCTATCTCTCTCTCTCCTTTCCTCTCCTTCTCTCTCTGTCTCTCTCTCTCCTCCCTCTCTCTCTCTCTTTCTCTCTCTCTGTCTGTTTCTCCATCCTTCCCTTTTTCTCTTTATCTCTCTCCCTCATAGCTCCCTCATATCTCTCTCTCTGTCTCAGTCTCTCTTGCTCTCTCTCTCTGTCCCTCCCTCCTTCTCTCTCTCTCTCCTTCTCTCTCTCCTTTCCTCTCCTTTCCTCTCTCTCTCTCTCTCTCTCTCTCTCTCTCTCTCTTTCTAACACAAGCCTACACACTTTCTGATTCTCTCTTTTGCGTTTTCCTCTTTCAGACGTCTTTCTCTCTCAGGTCTCAGACTGAGGATTTAAATGCGTGTAAAGGAATTAGTGGGCGTTATGTCTGCTGGACTGAATTGCTGTGCTCCCAAATATTTCCTGCTTCTATGACGACTGAAAAGTCTGTATGCGCATGTTTGTTTATGCAGTACTGTGCAAAAGACGTATACAGCCAAGTAAAAAGTTTAAAACTATTAATCTCAGCACTGAGTGTGTCTTTGCCAGTAAAGCCTTGTATAACATTAGAATAATCATAAAAAAAAACAAACACAGTAAAGCAAGAACGTTTTTATACCAGTTAATATGTAGGTTAGCTTCTTGCTGCAGTCCAGCTATTCATTACAGAGCTCACTGAACAGCATAAAGGGTTCATCCTTCAGGTAAAGGGTTCTTTATAGTACCAGAAAAGGGTTCTTTGGCATGTAACAATAGTGGAACCCATTTTGGTATACATACATACATACATTATCTAAACCGCTTAACTTCTGGGTCGCGGTGGGGTGCTGGAGCCTATCCCAGCTGTCATTGGGCGGAAGGCAGGATACACCCTGGACAGGTCGCCAGTCCATCGTAGGGCCCTGCCCCATTTTGGTGCTATATAGAAACCTTTTCAAAAAGGTTCTATATGGAACCATCTACAGCGTATTCTCCATCAATCTGAAGAACCGTCTCCTGAAGCAAAGAACCTTAAATCATGCAAAGGGTTCTTTGAGTGTTCATGGTTCTGTATAGAACCATTTTCTTGACTAAAGAACCCTCTCTCTTTTCACAATGTTCTATATAGAATCACACACATTACAACACAGTACAACACATTCTTTATCAATCTGAAGAACCATTTCACCATGCAAAGAAGGCTTTAAGCACGCAAAGGGTTGTTTGAGTGTTTAGGGCTCCATATAGAAACATTTTCTTGACAAAGAACCCTTTAAGCTCCATCTTTTTAAGAGTGTATTTCTATACACTGATGAATTGACAAAAAGAAACGGCCCAAAAAGTCTTGTTCCATTGACTTACATTAAAAGTGAAGTGTGTTTTTGCCTTATCCTGATGTTCCAACAACAGCGATGTACAGAATTTAAAAAGCTTAGCAGTAAAGCCATATATATTATATATATATATATATATATATATAAGGCTGCATATATTTCAAATAATTGGTCTGAGATAATGTGCTCTTCCCAAAAGATGTCTCCTGTGAAAACACTGTCAGGGATGTTGTCAGCTATATTAAATGTGGCTGCGTTTCATGCACAGAGCTGTATTGATTTTTCTGTGGAGGTAATTCCTCAATGAAAGACACAGTTTATATCTGAAGTGATAAAATTGTGGCTTTTGCTGCCAAAGAGCAACTCAAATGTCTCAGAGTCACAAGAAACAGGACACTTATTACTTAACCCTTGTATGTTGTTCATGTTTTTGTTACCCAGTAACACCACATTACTGTTTTTTAAAATCAATACAGCCATAACAGTTTATGTAAAAATACCAGATGTTCATAATATCACAAGTGGCCAGCGTCAGGTTCTCCTTTAGCAGCTGTAGCCAGTCAGCAGCCTGTCCATGTTGTCCACCCTCACACACCTACACACACATTAACAGCAGGCCATGTAAGAGTAGAACAGAGTGAAGGACACAGCACCTCCATAGCAGGTTCACCCCAACACTGTAAACTGTTATTGTTTATTTGTAAAGAGGCCAGTGTAGCACAAGTAAGTCTTGATTACATATTAAAAGCATATTTAGTGTTGTACAGTCTTATGCAAAAGTTTGGGCACCCTGTCAGGTTACATGTTCTGTTGATTTTCTAAATGAGTTAACACATGCGCTACTACCCACTTCAATGCATAATTACTGTTTATTGGCTGAATATTAATTATTTGCGGAATTTAGCATATTTAAAACAATAGAACATAAAATGCAACCTGCACAAAAGTTAAAGCATGTTTTTTATGTTAAACTCAGTAAGTATATAGAAATTATGCACTAGAATTCGCAGGAAAATGCCATATTTAAGTTTGTTCCTTATAGATGACGTGCTAATTTCTTTTCACTAAGTAAATCAACAAATTATGATTGACATTTGCATATGACTGTATATATACTGATGCCCTATATGAATGCATTTGTAATTTTTTGTAAATAGATGAGGCCTCAGGCTAAGTAAGACTGGTTTTGGACAGGTTTTGATAGTAAAATAAATTACGACTGTCATAAGAAAACATTGTAACCCCATTTTTTTACCCCATTTGAAAACGCCAGCTGCCTGTTACATGATTATGATGAATGGATCAATAGAAATGATACAAAACTACACTAAACCGAAGTGCATTTAAGTTTATATCCTATAAAGTTATAATGTAGAGTTTTATTATGACAGCATTGACATATCAAATAGACATTTTCTCCTGTCTGTTCTTTCAGAGAGCACATGTATCGTCAGTTGTGCTGCCTGTGTTGGCTGCTGGAGTCTCTGACCCTGGAACATTCTGGTAGAGTCGGGCCTGTGGTTTCTTGTTGGGATGCAAAGTGAGTAGAATTGCCAATCCAGTACAAATCCATAATTCTGAACTGGTGTCTCTTAAACCCTTGAAATCTCAGGCTTATTACATTCTAAGGCTTATTATTCAGTAACTACAGGGACTTCAGTGCAAACTGGTTGAGCTACTCTTAGGATATGGAAGTGTGTAATTAACCTTTGGGCCTACCAGCTGGCCCTGGTCATTTAAGGAGTTAAGTATGTACCTTATCTTATGAAACTACAGTTGCTGCACACTTTTAATAATAATACAGTGTACAGAGAGAACATTTTCCAACAGGCTGTATTTGTTACTGTGTCTTTAAGACTGATATATCTAAATACGTTTATATACACACTGATCAGGCATAACATTATGACCACCTCCTTGTTTCTACACTCATTGTCCATTTTATCAGCTCCACTTACTATATAGGTGCACTTTGTAGTTCTACAGTTACAGACTGTAGCCCATCTGTTTCTCTGTGTTCTTTGTTAGCCCCTTTTACCCTGTTCTTCAGTGGTCAGGACCCCCATGGACCCTCACAGAGTGGGTACCTTTTGGGTGGTGGATCATTCTCAGCACTGCAGTAATACTGATGTGGTGGTGATGTGTTAGTGTGTGTTGTGCTGGTATGAGTGGATCAGACACAGCAGTGCTAAACCTAATCTGTTGAGTGTTTGTTTCATCTAAAAAAGAACCACTCAAAATAAAGTGTCACCATACATTTATTTGAGTGTGGGTTTACACTACGCACTATTTCCAGTGTAAATTGTCGGCCCCTGTACATTGTTTTACACAAACAGGCATATCGCTGTTGTCAGAACAAAACCTCATATCTCCAAAATGGTAACTTTACAGGAGAAGGAAAAAACATACTTTACTTTTAATGGAAGTCAATGGAACCAGACTTTTTGCCAAGTATTTTTAGTTTATTTCTGTTGGTCCATTAACCATGAAATGTACATACAATGTAAAGGGAAATAGGCATTTTCAAATTATGTCAAAAGCTGGAAAACAACATAAATGAGGTTTTGTTCTGACAGCGGCAAAATGTTACTAAATGCTTTGTAGATCAGTTCGAATCTGAATCACAAATTATACACACTTACAAATGTGATCGTGTGTAAATACATAAGTGAATCTGCACTTTCTAAGTAGCATTTGAAGTTGGAAAAATACAGTGACATGTATTTCCTAATACATCTTCTGTATATGAGCTTTGACAATGATAGCCCATCAGTATGCAGGACAAATGGTTGAATCTCTTCAGAGCTTCATCACAGCGCTGTGGGCAGTGCGTTAGTAGCCAGTGTACGGGTCAGACTCAGACTACACTGGGTTTCCTCCCTCAGGCCCAACACTGACCTTAATAACACTCTGACTGCTTGACCTTGTGTGATATAAAGTTGATGTAATGAGGACAGTTGCTACACTGAGTGTAGTGTTTGTGTGTGTGTGTGTGTGTGTGTGTGTGTGTGTGTGTGTGTGTGTGTGTGTCTTAGCATGAATGAGCCTCAGGACTCTAAATCAGAGTTGTCATGTGCCTGTGTGTCTGTGTGTCTGTGTGTTTGTGTATGTGTGTGTGTGTGTGTTTGTGTGTGTGACGAGTGAGCACTTAGTGGGCGGGGCTGCATGCAGTTTGCTGCAGTCCTCATATGTTAAATTCAGGCACATTTTTTGAGACAAGGCACATTTTGACCTGTGCCTGAGAAAGAGGCAAAGAGAGATAGTAAAGCCATAGAGAGAAGGAGAGAGAGAGAGAGAGAGAGAGAGAGAGAGAGAGAGAGAGGGAGAGAGAGACGGGGGGGAGACATACAGACAGACAGAGATGCAGACAGACAGAGAGAAAGAGACAAAGAGGGGAGAGAGGCCACTGACATACACAGAGAGAGAGATAGACAGGCAGAGAAGGGGAGAGAGAGAGAGAGAGAGACGAGACATGCAGAAAGAGAGAGAGAATGTAGACAGAGTGGGGGTGGGAGAGAGAGAGAGAGAGAGAGAGAGAGAGAGAGAGACAGGCAGACAGTCAGACAGACAGAGAAGCCATAGAGACAGAGGGAGAGAGAAAGAGAGATGGACAGACAGAAAAGCTATAGAAAGAGACAGAGAGGGAGAGAGAGAGAAAGGGAGAGAGAGAGAGATAAAAGAGAGAGAAAATCTGCAGAAAGAGAAAGGAGCTGTTCAGAGATCAGAAAGAAAGAATGTAGACAGAGAGAGAGAGAGAGAGAGAGAGAGAGAGAGAGAGAGAGAGAGAGAGAGAGAGAGAGAAAACAGCAAACAGCTAGAGAGAGAAAAGCCATTGATAGAGTGAGTATATAGAAGTGGTGGGGAACTCTGGCCAGATTCCTGCACAGTTTGCTGATTTTTGCTCAAGCACACCTGAATAAACTCATCAGTTAATTGAAAATCATTAGACTGTGCTGGACTCCGGCCCTCAGTTCCACACCTCTGGCCTATGGTGATTATATTAGCTGATGCTACAGCTGCAGCTTCCAAGATTATGTTGAAAGGGCCAGTAAAGTTGAACAGTTGAAGGTGATGACCTCTGTCAACAAACCTCCAAACAAACTCATGACCAAAGTTCAGCAACATCCAATCTACACAGTTTTGCCCTCATTCTAAACACAGTTGATCAACCAAAATTTGGTGTCTGAATAAGGAAATCCTCTTTGAAGTGGTAGATTTATTGTTAATTAATCTCAAATAGACTTTTGATACAGTATGACATACTAAATTTATAAAAAAGTAAAAAGTACAGACCAAATTCCGCCTGCCACTACTGTTTTAGGGCCTGGCCCCACCAGATGTCGCTGTGGAGTAGAAAACCTCATATGTCCATAATGGTAACTTTACAGGAGAAGGAAAAATCTACTTTACTTTTAATGTAAGTCAATGGAACCAGAATTTTTTCCAAATAATTTTGGGGAATTTATTTTGGTCCAGTCATCATGATATTTACATACAATGTAAAAGACAACATGCATTTTCAAATTATGTAAAAAACTGAGAAACGTAACGACATAAATGGAGATGAACAACGGTAAGGGCTGACCCGTCAGCGCTCATCTAACCAAGTGAGCACTCTCAGCATGTTCAGCGCACTTTCAATAACCAGCCATGAGGCCCATTCACATTGGCTCCGTGCTGAGAGCAGCCAATAAAAAATAATAAATTCACAAACGTCCAGACATTTAGTAAACATGGCTCACGGTATAGGCATTGCTACACAGCTGGCACTGTTTCTCATCAGTTGTAGTAGCCACTCATAATAGCAAGGCAATATAATGAGTCAAGTCAAAAATGTCATAAAAGTTAAATTTGGTACTCAGCCATTAGAGCTGAAATTAGAGATTACATGTTTGGGACACACCAGCCAGAGGATTTCAACATCATTCAGTCTGGAAAGGACAAAAACCGCTCCTTCAATCCAGAGAGGTTCAAGAGAAAAACATGGCTAACTGTGAGTGTAGCTAAAAAACACTCTTCTGCTTTCCTTGCCCTGCGATGGACTGGCGACCTGTCCAGAGTGTGTCCTGCCTTCCACCCAATGACAGCTGGGATAGGCTCCAGCACCCCACCGCGACCCAGAAGGATAAGCGGTTTAGATGATGGATGGATGGATGCTTTCCTTGCCTGCCCTTGCTATGCTATCACTTGAATTGATTCATGGATTGGTGGACTTTGAGAAAAAGTTTTTGACAAATTTGCCCAGATGAAATATCGTCGAGCATCTTTTCTTTTCGAGCAGTGAACTTCACTGATGAGTCATTTTGCATTATTATAAAGTGCATTATTCCCAGCGCCCGGAAAGCATGTTTCCCTGCTCTGATACGTTGTTTGGATATGTAGTTGCAGACCACAATGATCGTATACTGATAGATAACTTTGGATTTGTAATGCTGTATAACCAGGTTTTGAGAGATTTAATGCTGTTATCATATCACTGATATTCCTGTCTAACTCCTGCACCACGTTATGCTAATTTGTGAATCTGTGATTTCACTGATAGAGTGCGTTTGTGTTTGGATCAGGTTTGTGTGTAGTTTCACTGATGAGTTGCTGCTGCCCCTACAGTTTATTGTGCCCCACCAGGCTTTCTGTGGCAGAGACGCCACTGGTTTTAGCTATGTGTGATAATATAAGCGTGCAGTTTGCGCCATGCTAATTAGTGGTGTATATTACAGTACTTGTTAGCTACATAAGCCTCATAACCCCAATGCAAAACTAAAGAAGCAAACTTCAGACACCAAACATGTCTTGGCTAAATTACTACAGTTGAATTAATGGAAAAAATTGTGTAAATTGAAATTTTCACCAAACCATCGCTTTAATATAGACAGCAGTGAGAGATGTAGTTACATTGTTTAGCGAGCTGTACGCTAGGGCGGAGAGAAGGCGCAGTGTTATAAATACTAGACAGACAGCAGTGGAGTGGCCCATATTGGAGAAAAGAATGGAGGGAGAGAGGAGAGAGGGCTAGACAGGCAAACGGAGGGAGAGAGAAAGTAGAAAAAAGATTATATCCTATGTCCTGGAGCTACGGGCTAATATTAGTGATAAACTGGGTGAGAGATGGAGAGAAAGTGCAAGGGAGAGAGTGCGAAAAAGGTGCAACGGAGAAAAAGAAAGAGAGGGAAGGGTGAGCAGTAAGCTCCACTCGAGCCTGCGGGGCCTTCCACAATCCAATTTCCAATAAAGTTAAGCTTTATGGAGAAGCGCAACAGCACTGCACATGGCAGATATTACACACAGTGATGAAACTATAACAGCGAGTGTCAGAGTGCAGAGGAAGCTCACTTATGAGAGACAGACCCGTTTTTCTTTCGTCATTTTATCTCTTCAAAGCGATACCTGGACCAAAGTTGACAAAAGTATGTAGCATAGCTAAAAACAGTAGCATACCTGTGTTCCCAGTTTTTGACATAATTTGAAAATGTTAATTTGTTAGTTTCACAATGAATGCAATATGTAATATTGTAAAATAATGTAATATTTTAACGTTATTCCAAGTCTAATTGAGAAGATGTAGGAATAACTGATATCAACCTCTGAGTGAGCATGTGGCTGACTCTCTCTCTCTCTCTCTCTCTCTCTCTCTATCTATCTATCACTCTCACACTCTTTTTCTGTCTGTCTCTCTCTCTCTTTCTCTGTCTGTCTGTATCTCTCTCCCTTTTTCTCTGTCTCCCTCTGTCTTTCTCTCTCTCTCTCTTTCTTTCCCTCTCTTTGTCTCTCACCCTTTCAAATTCAAATTCAAATAACTTTATTTAATGAACAATTGTTGCCAAAGCAACAGAATATTATAGTAGAGAATGAAGTTGAAGAAAAAAAAATTTATAAAAGATATATATATATATATATATATATATATATATATATATATATATATATACATATATATATATATATATATAAATGTGTGTACATATATATATATATAGCTGCTGTCGGAACAAAACCTTGTATCTCTAAAATGATAACTTTACAGGAGAAGGAAAAGGTAAAGTCATACATCTATACAAATAGAAATATGTAATATTTCTCCCTTCTCCTTTTCTCTCCCCTCCTGCTCTTCTTTTCAATCTCTATCTCTCTCTCTCTCTCTCTTTCTCTCTCTCTCACTCTCTCTCTCTCTCTCTGTCTCTCTCAGGGATCCTGGGAGGAGCAGAAACACTCTAAAGACTCTGAATAAAGAGAAGGCGATACAGGCCAAGTGGGAGCAGTTTGTGTCCCCACCAAAGGTTTTTCTCTCCCAGATCAGCTCTTTAAACAGCGATGGCTCTGTGATTATAGCCTGCTGTCTCCATAAAGCTCACAATCTCCCCGGCTTCAGAGCTCAGTAATAGAGACGCACATATTTATCGACGTGGATGAGTTGTGGTATACCTGCTCTCTCTCTCTCTCTCTCTCTCTCTCTCTCTCTCTCTCTCGGAAGTCTTTTATGGTGTCTGGTGTCTGAAGGGCTGGATACATATGGTTTTTTTTTTATTGTTTCAAGCCTTAGTAGAGTCGTGCATGGAACCTCAAAACTAATGTAGCTAACAAGTAATAGAGGCTCATGTTCCCCCAGTGAGGGCTGTGCAATGCCCGGATTATCATGCACTTTATTCCCCAATTTTATCCTCAGTTTGGTTGTGTCTAATTCAACCCACTAGCTAGACTTGCTAATGTGGTTTCTGATACTGTGTGACAACTTTTTTAACAGTGTGGACTGAGCAAGTTTTCACGGACTCGTGAACTTGTGGGCATTGCAATAGTTTATGATTAGTCTGTGTTTTTCCATTGTTGAGCAATGTTTTATCTCTAAATGGTGAAGTAATCGGATAGTGTCAGAACTTCGTTCACTAGCTCTACACAGCAAATCACACACAATGGATTGACACTTTAGCATCGTCAATGGCAATGAATTTTATGATCTGTCATCATATTTTAGATTGAATGATGCTTTTTTTCTTGGTATCCTTTCCATTCTTGGCTTTTTTTCTGGGTTTGCAGCCCTAATAAGAATTAAGCCAAACTGTTGGAATATTATTAATTATTAATTATTAAATGTAAATAAGAACACAGTGCAATGATGTGCAAATCATTTAAACCCTTTTTAAATGTAAATAGTACAAAGACAACATATCAAATATTGAAATTGAGAAATTTACTGTTTTATTTTAAATATATGCCCATTTTGAATTTGATGCCAGCAACACATTTTAAAAAAGGTGGGACGTGGGCTTGTTTACCACTGTGTTGTATCTTGTCTTCTTTTAACAAAACTCTGTGTGTGTGAACTGAGGAGACACTGCTGTAGTTTTGAAAGTGAAATGTTTTTCCATTCTTGCTCGATATAGGATTTCAGCTGCTCAACAGTTCAGGGTCTCCTTTGTCATTATTTTCATTTCATAATGCATCAAATGTTTTCAGTGGTGACAGGTCTGGACTGCAGGCAGGTCAGTTTAGCACCCAGATTCTTTTACTAGCCATGCTGTTGTAATACATGTAGAATGTGGTTTGACATTGCTGAAAAAAGCAAGGCCTTTCCTGAAAAAGACGTCATCTGGATGGCAGCATATGTTGGTCCAAAACCTGTATATATATCATTCAGCATTAATGGTGTCTTCACAGTAGCACACCCCCATCATCACAGATGCTGGTTTTTGAACTGTGCGCTGATAACAAGCTGGATGGCTCCTCTCCTCATTAGCCTGGAGGACGCAGTGTCCATGATTTTCAAAAAGAATTGCAAATTTTGTCAGACCACAGGATACTTTTCCACTTTGCTTCAGTCCATCTTAAATAAGCTCAGGCCCAGAGAAGGCGTCAGTGTTTCTGGATCATGTTTATATATGGTTTCTTCCTTGCATGGTAGAGTTTTAACTTGCATTTGTGGACGCGGCAACAAACTTTGTTTACAGACAGTGGTTTTCAGAAGTGTAACTGAGCCCATGCAGTGATTTCCACTACAGAATCATATCTGTTTTTAATATAGTGCTGCCTGAGGGCCCAAAAATCACGGCCAACCAGTACTGGTTTTCGGCCTGCTCCCCTTACATTGAGAAATGTTATTCTTTAATTGTTGCACTATTCACCCACACAGTCTTTCAGAGTGGTGGACCACTCCATATCTTTACCTCTGAAAGACTTTTTATACCCAATCATGTTACTGATCTGTTGCCAATTAGCCTAATTAGTTACACAACCTTACCAGTTCTTTGTTATCCCTGTCCCAACATGTTGCTGACATCAAATTCAAAACAGGTATATATTAAAAAAACAATAACAATAACAATAACAATACTGTCCACATTTGTAGATAACAGCATGCCAGAAACCACATAAGCAAGTTCATCTGAGATTACTCAGCAACTCAATATGCTTTGTTTTGCACAATGCTAAGTATGCATCTCTCTCTCTCTCTCTCTCTCTCTCTCTCTCTCTCTCTCTCCCAGTCTCTGCGTCCTGTGCTCAAAGTGTCCCGCGTGTGCTCTGCGCGATCTTTGACTCGGAAGTCCTCCTCCCTTAGCATGCCGTCGTCTGTGGCGATGACCTCATCACTGGGCAGCAGCCTGTCCTCCTTAGTACTGGATGCCAAAGACCCCAGTGATGTCACTGTGCCAACCGAGGACGGCGAGTGTCAAAGCGCAGAGGTGTCTGAGGCGGATCCACCTGTGAATGAATGTAGGTTATGCAGGTCAGAGGTCACATTTTTGGATCCACGGGAAGAGTGGCATCAGTGCCAGTTTAAGGGGAGACTAGCTAATACCTATTTCTTCAAAACACTAGAGGGCGCTCATTCATGAGACCAATGAATAGTGTGAGTTGAGCTAAACAGCAAAAAATGACAAAAGTTTCTAGAGATTTGTGATGGGGTTCCTTTTGGTTTGGAAAGTAGAAGGATGTATTCCATTAAACCTTAAAGGAAACCAGTGTCCTTCTGTTTTTCTACTGAGTGCTGGTTCATTGGTATTAATGTTACTGACTGCTGAATGATTGACATTACTGCTACCGAGTGCTTATTGGTTTGCATTACTGCTACTAAGTGCTGGTTGGTTTGTTGGCATTACAGTTACTGAATGCTGATAGGTTGGAATTATATCTACTGAGTGCAAGTGCTGGTTGGTTGGTATCATTGCAACTAAGCGCTGATTGGTTGACATTTGTGCTATGAGTGTTGATTGGTTTGCATTGCTCCTACTGAGTGCTGATTGGTTGGCATTACTGCTACTGAGTGCTAATTTATTTGACATTACAGCTACTGACTGCTGATTAGTTAGCTTTACTGCTACTGAGTCCTAATTGGTTGGCATTACCTTTACTGAGTGTTGACTGGTTAACATTACTGCTACTGAGTGCTGATTGGTTGGCATTACAGCTACAGAGTGCTGATTGGTTGGCATTACAGCTACTGAGTGCTGATTGGCTGGCATTACTGCTACTGAGTGCTGATTGATTTGCATTACGGCTACTGAGTGCTGAGAAATTGGTATTACAGCTACTGAGAGCTGATTGGTTAGCATTACTGCTACAGAGCGCTGATTGGTTAGCTTTACTGCTACAGATTTGTGATTGGTTAGCTTTACTGCTACTGAGTGCTGATTGGTTGGCATTACTGCTACTGATTGCTGATTGGTTAGCATTACTGCTACAGAGTGCTGATTGGTTGGCATTACCTCTACTGATTGCTGATTGGTTAGCATTACTGCTACAGAGTGCTGATTGGTTATCTTTACTGCTACTGAGTGTTGATTGGTTAACATTACTGCTACTGAGTGTTGATTGGTTATCTTTTCTGCTACTGAGTGTTGATTGGTTATCTTTACTGCTACTGAGTGTTGATTGGTTAACATTACTGCTACTGAGTGTTGATTGGTTATCTTTTCTGCTACTGAGTGCTGATTGGTTATCTTTACTGCTACTGAGTGTTGATTGGTTAACATTACTGCTACTGAGTGTTAACTTTTTTGCAGCAGACCACTTTCCTCTCCTGTTCTATTGCTTAAGGGACACATTTCTGTTATTGTGTAGTTTCTGACCTCTAGTTTGTTGGATTTACAGAGAAGCAATACCTACGAGGTTCATTTGACAGAATTTACATCTGTATTTGGTAGGCCATGTAGGAATCAGTGCAGTTTTATAGAAACACGTCCTTTTATTATTTAACCCAGTGGAACCCAAATGTCATTTTATTCATTCTTTAAAGTCCCATAACCTGCTAGTAATATATTAAGTCCCCGTATGACATCTTTACATGATCAGTTTTACAGTCTCTTGTCCTGGACACCCACTGCCCTGCACATTTGGATGCTTTCCCTGCTTTAACACACCAGTTCAACCGAGTAAAGGGCTGTTAATGAGCTGATTAGTTGGTTTAGATGTGTTGGGAGCGGGGAAGAAACTAAGATGTGCAGGGTAGTGGGCCTCCCTCCAGGAAACAGGGTGTCTTTGTTATGGTGCTGATATATATGAATAATCTCTGCTCTGATTGGCTGCCCTGTACAGCAGTTCAGGTCGAAACACTCCGTATAACTTCAATGTGAGCGGAGCTAAACTGCCATGGGCTGATGTATGTAAAAGTGTCAATTGTTGTGACAATAAAATGGGCTGTTTTTGCAGCTTGGTTTTCATATATGGATGGTATGTTTTCATGCTCTGTCAACTTTTGTTTATTTAGTGAGAAAAAGTGGGGAAAATTCAGTTTTCCTTGATATGGACCCTTTAAATCACATACACACATGCACATTAGTTTCTGTGCTGTCTGGTTCCAGGTGGGCCAAACTCACGATTAGTCCTCCCTACTGTTTAACTGCCCATATGAACTGTCACATACTATCATTATTTTTTACTCGTCATGACCTTTGATCAGTTCTTCCTGCTGTCATGGTAATAGAATCCATCTAGAACCTTTTTTTTTACTACCGTGGTCACCAACCCTCCTCTTAGGGATCTACTTCCAGCCTGCATCTAAAAAACTGTCCCACTGGATCAGATCCATTAGTGTTGCCTGAGGGGTGGGACAGTTTTCCAACTGCAATCTGCCAGCAGGTGTGGAATTGGACAGCAGGTTGGAACTGGACTTTGCAGGAAGGTAGATCTCCAGGACCAGGGTTGGTGACCACTGTTTTAAAGCATTTAATAAAATGATAGAAACCAGGTTTGTGTTCTAGAAGGGGAAGTCCACCCATTGTTCAAAAGTTCCACATAATTAAGTGTGTGAGATGTAAAGTCAGTCAGTGGGGTTTTGTGTGAAATGTTCCATTCTAGAGAACCTAGCGCTGTTCACAGTGGTGATAGTAGGAACCCAATGTCTGAGGAGTTTAATGCCTCTAAAAGCTCCCTCACAGAAAGATAATGTACAAAATGATTATGAAAATGCTGTCTGATTAAGGACATAAGGATTATAAAGGTTTTGTGATAAAGTTTTTGCCTACAACATTAATCAATTTATTCCACTAATAATCCCTTTATTTCAGTCTTTTCATGGTGAGGTGGGGGTACATGTAGTGCATTGTAAGGCAAAATAATCCCCAAAGAAAGCTTAATTTTTCAGATTTATCACTATTTTACCATCATCAACATCACATATAAAACTCAGAAGGCACGTGCAGGTTCACAAGTGGTTTAGGATAGTAAATGAAATGGCTATATTTGTGTTGTGGACAGGCAACCCCTGGTTCCTATCACCACCACTGTAAAGAAATCTGAATCAGTACGTTTCTCTACAATGGACCACTTCATATCAAACCACTCTGAATGACTTTGTTTACATCGCAATGAAGCAATTATACAAAAATTTTGAAAAATTGATGGAATTCCCCTTCCTAAAAAGGCCACTGAGGGCCTGACTCCTCAGTTCACCACAGGCATCCAGCTACTCTCTGTAGATAATCATCAGCACTCTTTAGCGCCCCCTACAGAGCAGAGTGGGAAATTGTGCTGGTCTTGGATCAAAGCTGACTGCACTGGGAGACTGGCTTTGTATTTTTCTCTCTTCTTTTTTTCACACAATCATTGCCAGTTGTTTAATACCCAAAGAAAGACACTCTGGAATCAAAAGACCCATTAAAGCCTCTTTTAGTTCAGCCAGTTAATTGGGGAAGCTACTAATCCTCTAGATTTAAGCGTGAAATCCAAGAGCTGGCCTGTAAAGATATCTCTCTCTATTTAACTTTTATTGTTGCCACTTAAATAGGTTGAGGCTAAAACTTTTGTTTTTTGCATTAAAAGGAACCGGAGGTAAAAAATAAATAAATAAATAAATATTAAAAATGTGTGATGAGAATGAAATCAACACAGGCATTCATTATTTTTCATAGAGCTTGATATAAAAGTGATTAAGTCCCCAATCCAAAAACATTGTCCTCATTTTTAATAGATATTAAATCCAGAGCGTTTAAAATGAGATCACGGGAGAGCTTTATGAAGCCTAATGCCAGCCAATTCATCTCTGAGTTATTGCGCTTTTAATTTGTGTCCCCACATCAACCCATTTTTTAATTCGATGAGTGCTCCCCATTTTTCCAGAAGATTCATGAATTTTCTTTATGTTAATTAAGTTTTATGGTGGGGAAAATCCTGGTAGTTATTAATGTGTGAGACTGTGATTCATCTGAATATGGCCAGAATGTTTTTGCTCAAAATGATTTGCTTCTAAATCTGTCATGAAATAAAATCAGTGGAATTGTGTTAAATGTTTTGACCAGCAGAGGGCGATATAAGTTTATTTTGTGTTGCATAGGCATCCTCACTGAAGGGTAAAAATGTGGCATTTTTAATTCAGCAATTAATACAAAGTTAACAGACAAGCAAAGACCGAAGCAACGTAAGTTTATGTGGAAGAGATTTTGGTCCCACTTTATATTGTCTCTAATAACTGTGTAGTTACACATGAAAAACACATGCAACAACACTGTAAGTATTGATGATTTAGTCAGTGTTACAAATGGATTACAGAAATATAGCCTATGTAATTACACAAGGGTATCTTTTTGATACACTACAGATCAGAAGTCCTTTCCAGCAGTTAAAGTATGGTTTACATTACATAATTACTGTGGAATAACTGTGTTGTAACAAGCTGACCTAATCACATCACATTGATTGATACCATTCTGTAATTACACTGTACCTATATAACAACTACACAGGAACTTTCCTGTAGTGTAGTGTTAAAGTTACACTTTAAATAAGTGGACAGTTCCTGTGTAGTTGCTATAAAGGTGCTATGTAATAATAGAGTGGTAATATAGACATTGCTTTGGAGGTAATGCAACACAATTAATGTCATAAAATCTCATAAAAATTATGTTACGATAAGTGAACATCTGCTGTTCTGTCACATTACAGAATGGTTAAAAGCTGAAACCGGTTACAGTGTCACAGCACTAGCAACATAAATGCTGGCTAAATGTTAGGAAAGCTGGCAGATACAGTGTAAATAATGTCTTAATGTAAGTGATTACATACTTTTACTGCTGGAAAAAAGTCTGATTACAAATGTAATTACACTTATGTTATTACTCTTGTGTAATTACATGAGGCAAAACTGAAGTTGATACATATGTAATTACATAAAGTGTACTTCTGTAGTCCAGCTCTAAGTGTGACTAAATCATTAGTAGTTACATTGTTGTTGCATATGTTGTTCACATGTAACTACACAGTTATTAGAGACACAATATAAAGTGGGACCGAGATTTTCCTTCATATTTTTCCAAATAGGCATAAACCTGCAGATGGCCTTTAACACATGAGCATGTGGATGCTTATTCAGGTTTTATGGTCTCCCACAGCTGGTCAGCAGTGGAAAGGTTTTGTCCAGTTAATTTGTGGGTGTTCTGAGACCAGATGTTCTTAAAGGGGTTAAAGGGGAGATTCTGATTTTTTTTATTTTTGCATGACTCAGTTTTCACTGAGATGTAAACAGAGTCATTCAGAGTAGTTTGATGTGGTTCATTGTAAACTCTTTAAAAAGATGCTTCAATGGTTCTTTAGTAAAGGAAATGGTTCTACATAGAACTATGAGCACTCAAAGAACTATTTGCATGATTAAAGTGTTCTCTGTATTATGAAAGGTTCTTCAGATTGATGGAAAATGTGCATGAATGTGCTGTAGATGGTTCTATATAAAATAGAACTTTTTGAAAAGGGTTCTATGTAGAACCCAAAAGGTTCCTCTATGTCACAATGTCAAGCTTGTAACAAGTGAAGAACGCTTTTTTGGTGCTATATAGAAACCTAACCTTATTTTTTTAATTGTGTAGAGACTCCTAGATATTTCTTTACAGTGGTGCTGATAGGAACCATGGGTTGCCATGACTGCAACACTAATATAGTCATTTTATTTACTATCCAAAACCACTAGTGAACCTACACATGTCTTCTGAGTCTCTCTGCCATAAATAGGTTTTTAAAAATGCTAAATCTTGTCTCAAAACTATCATAAAACAATTTCTCAGGCATCAGGTAGCATATTCATAACCATTTCACATAATAACCACACAGAATTGAGGGAGCTTTTAGAGGCATGAAACACTTCAGACATCTGGTTCCTATCACCACCACTGTGAACAATCCTGCTTAGTACGTTTCTCTAGAACAGAGCAGTTCACAACAAACCGCAAGTTGCTTTGTGGAAAAAAATTAATTTCCCTTTAAATTTACACTCTTAAAAAAGATGGACCTTTAAGGGTTCTTTAGTAAAGAAAATGGTTCTATATAGGACCATGAACCCTTTACATGATTAAAGGTTTCTTTGCATGGTGAAATGGTTCTTCAGATTGAGGGAGAATGTGCTATGTATGATGAAAAGGGTTCTATGTAGCACCACAAAGCGTTCTTCTTTTGTTACGATGTCAAGCTTGTAAGAATAGAAGAATCCTGTTCTACGCTACGTAGAAGCTTTTTCAAAAAGGTTTTATATAGAACCATATGCAACACATTCTCTATCAATCTGAAGAACCCTTTTATCATGCAAAGATCCATTTAAGCATGCAGAGGGTTCTTTGAGTGTTTGTGGTTCTATACAGAATCATCTACTTTACTAAAGAACCCTTGAAGAACCACCAGTGTAGTCCTTGACCAGGCCAAATTTTCTTTCTGAAAAACTGCTCATCTTCTGGGAATAATTTATTAATAATGGAAAGCAAGCAAAGTTTTTGCAGTTGTTCTTCTAGAAACAGTCGTGAGGAATTCTTTTTCCAGAGTTCAAAGACTTTTCTGACTGTCTTTCAAAATCATGACTTCCAGCTGTTGGTCAGTCTGAACTGTGGTGGCTTTGGGCCTTTTGGATCCTTTTGTGCTGAAGTGCTGTGTTTTTCAGAAAGCCTTGCTTCATATTGATAAATTATTTCCAGAAGATGGCAATCAGAAGCAAATTTCCAGCTAGAAACTGCTAAAAAATAAGAAGTCAGCTTAATTTAAAATGATAAAGTAACAGATTCCACTGCTTTTCTTGAGTTACAGTTACAAATAAAGCTACTGCGCATTTTTGACCAAAGTACAAACAGTGCAAATGTTCCCTCAAAGGTACAACAGTGGTTTTAAAGTCCAATTGTGCACCTTAAATAAGTTTTTCCCAGGTACGAAAAGTACGTATTTAGACCTTTTTATAACCGAATGTTTTAAAACAGAACAATAAAATAAAAACCCTGGAGATGAGACGGGGTGTGTGGAGTCAATACAGCTTAGAAAATATCATTTCAGTGGATTATGGTTCAGTTATGTTCCCTGACTAAAGGTACTGAGATGTACCCTTGAGGGTACCACCCCAGTGACAAGAGGGGTACTGCCTCAGTGACAGTTTAGTCCCTTTTTTTCTGAGAGTGTAGTGTCTCTGCTCTCAGATGCTCAAACACACATTCTCAAGAAACACATTTAGCAAATTCTCCCATATTGAGAGCAAAATGAACCTCTGGCCACAGAACGGTGAACATTCCCCTAAAAATGAAATATTCACATCAAAATACCAAACACTGCTATCATATGAATTTCAACAGCAAAGCAGTTTTTCACCCTGTGAAAAGAAATTAAGAAACACAGTTGTTTCAGTGAGTTTGCTGCTGTCTTTGGACTAAAGACAATGCAAATGTGCAGACAAGAGACAATGAAAAGACAGCAGCAAACTCACTGAAGTACATATACCTTAATTATATATTGTTACTGTTGGGACAAAACCTCGTATCTCCATTTTTTTTTTTCAGTTTTTGACATAATTTTAAAAAGCCTGTTGCCCTTTACATTGTGTGTAAATTTCATGATAAATGGACCAAAATTACTTGGAAAAAAGTCTGGTTCCATTAACGTACATTAAAAGTAAAGTATGTTTTTTCTTCTCTTGTAAAGTTGCCATTTTGGAGATTCGAGGTTTTGTTCTGATAGCAGCAACATATTTACCTTTATTATTTCTGGTTTTTTTAGTGTTTACATGAGGAAAAAACCCAAACTGTATGTGATACACAATGTACACCACACTGTCAAGAGTGTAAAAAATAAACTCAGATACTTGAATAACTAAGTAGGTAAATAAATAATAGTAATAGTTTAGACACAAAAAGTGATCTATATCACATACAGTGTGCTGTCTGGCTGAACAGTGTTCTAAAAGTCTTCTACAATCTTCTAGGATGTGTTCCTCAGATGTTCCTAGATGCATCCTCTATAAGCCCTGTTGTCTAAATTTCATTTCATTTGTAAACACATTTCATTCTCAATGAGTTGTGTGATGCTAAATGTATTTAAAATCATTTTAGTGTGTGATCAGTGCTGATTGAAATGACAATTACCATACTTAGTAATTAAAATCTTTTAGTCCAATAAATAAGACTATTATCAAG